TCGAACCGGATATTGGCTTTCGGTGGTCACAAAGAATCCTCCAGGTATTAATAAACTCAAACATCAAACAAAAGGTACCAGAACCAATTGATTTATAGCATAATAATGACATCAGGAATTTCCGGTTCGATATAAAAATGACCATAAAAAATGACCATTTTCGACATTCTTTGTGTCAAATGTTTAGTGTAAATCTTCTCGGTTATCGTACGTTCGGCTACGGGAATTACGGAATTGAGATCGAGTGTCACTGAAAAGTCACTCTACGATTTTAGTGACACTTTTTTGCACGTGTGATGACTTTCAGTTAAATCTTTCATGATGGGCTAACCGAAATACATTGACAGCAAACAGAAAGAAGCTTTTGGTGCGCACGTGCTATTTTTGAACATTAAGTTAAACGTATATGAGTAATTAAACTAGACGGTGTAAGTTTTTCATAACCAACCATTCTCATAAACCACAAACAACAATGCCATGATAGTGAGTATTGTCACCGAGCGAGAAAGTCTTTCTAGAGCGATAAACAACAAGGATTACAGACACAATGATCAGTGATACCATAATTTACAATCCAAACTCAAGTTTGTATTGTTGGTATGAACCATTGTCAGTGTTGAGGTAACTTCGGAAATAGTGCCATCAGTTTATACGAGCTTTGCGGATGATATTCCGAAACGAGTGTACTACTAGATAACCAACTGAACCAACGGGTTTGTAAGGTGTTTATCATTAACAGCTCATATCTCCGAAAGTGGATACAATCAAGCTATATAATTACCAAATATAACTGCGAGGAACCTCAAAACTACGTACCTGTCAGAAAATAACAGCAGTCTTGCCGAGGAAAAAGCACAGTCTAAACTACGGGATATATCATTTTAACCCATTGAAAATGGAATGATCAAAGGTATAGAGCAATGAAAAATATTGACGTTAAGATAATTACTTGTCAAAAAGGCGCTTTCAGCAAAACTAGAAACGTAATTCGACGGAAAAATGAAATAATCAAATTAATCGATCTAAGATCAACCGATTGGGGCAGCCACCATAGTCAGAGGTCAATTGAATCGGACCGATTTAAAACATGAGGTACCAAAGTAGAATTACCAACTTGTGGGAAACGCAAGGTGTGTAAACTGATGGACCAAATTTATATCCTACTGAATATTAAAAAAGTATTTAAAAAAGCAAATACGTGACATAGGTATATTAGTAATTAACGATATATATATTGATATACTAACTGAAAAGGATGACTCGTATGAGATTTGTAGCAGGACCAATAGAAAGTTCCACTGCAGATTGATAATGGTGAAGATTAACGGAGATTTTTCAACCTCTTCCTTTATGGACGGCCCTTTGCGACCATACTACATTTTGGGGTTTACCCCGTATGATAGTTCGAGCGCATCTTAATGCTGTGATTTTGCTGCCAATGAAGTAAACACCACCTTGTTATCCCTTTCCAGAACATTAAGTAGCACGTCTTGAGAGCTATTCAGAATCGATTTTTGTATTTAATGATAGCCGAACCTGGAAAAATTCTATTTTGTCCTCAATGTTTGAAAAGAGCACCACTTTCCCGAAAAATTCAGATAAGGAAAATCTAAACGGTCGCGGACTAAACTTACTCGTCCCTCCAAAAGACTTTTGACTTGAAGCCTTTGTGACTGAACCAGTGACACTACCGAAGGACTGCTGATATGCTTAGTTGTTAAATTAAATGTAAAAAGGAATATATTTGGCAGAGAAGAATGATGAAAAAACACAAAATCGCGTGTACATTTCTTCATATTCGGAACTAGCAAATTTTCGATCTCTTCAGTCGAAGCGATAGTAACGGCATCTTTCATATGTTCTTTAAAGTACAGCCTAACGACTAATTAAACTAATCGTTACTCAAGAACCAAGTTTTTTTTTAGGGTTGAAATCTGAAGAGCGCTGGTTTTAACAGTGGCGTTGCTTATACACCTCCGAAGGTGTTTTTGCCATTCATTTCAATTTAGTCGCGGTAACCCTGTATGGACTGATGAATTTTTGTGGTCACGCCTCAGGATGGTAGAGCGTTTTATTGTGCGATAGCACTTTCGTCCATTACACGCCATGGTGCTTAATATCCTTAATCTCTCAATTTCGGGGAGATTTTGACCCATTTTGTGGAGATTTTGGAGAAGCCGCTATAGAAAAGTTTTGGGAAATGGCATTAAAACCCCAGTATTACCTCTAAACATTGGTGAGGTCCATTTGGCTTCGGGGATCTACCTAAAATTTCCCCAAACTTGGGAAATCGGGTTGTCGTCGAAGACAACTTTCAACATCACGTTGAACTCACTATCAGATATAAAGAAGTCAATTAGAATGCATAAATTATAGATGTAAACACTTGAAATATCTAAAGTATCTCAATAAATATACGACTATGGTTTCAAAGACGTACGTAACTTAGATCCTACGGGGTATTGTGAAATTAATGTTACAACTTACAATTGTGCGTAGGTTGAGTGTTCAGATTCACGTTTGTTTATTAAGGACTAAAGCTCAGCCTCCTGTGAGTTTCTTGTCTTTCCACGAACTGAAGGTGCGAACAATACTTCATCAGGTAGTAGGTCCTAAGAGTTGGTAGTTTGGTAAGAAAACATGTATACAAGGAGTATTTTATTTGTCCTTGGTTTCTGAGCTAGATTTTCATGTCCACTGGGTTGTCATAATCTAGTAAAGTGAAAAAACGGGATATTTGTCAGATATGAAAATATTTATTGAAATTTTCTGCATCAAAATCTAATCACCCCTTGATATACGATAACTTCTTAAGCTGCCTTGTGTGTAGCAGATCCCAGGTCTCTAGACTTGCGTGGGTCCCTTTTCTTTTGTACTTATTTCAGGATGTATGAGTCACCTTTTGAACAGGAGATGAGCATGAACGCGGTTGTCAATTTTGAATCACACTAAGGTGATGTATATTATGGTGAACATGCTTGTATCCAATATGTTAAATGTCTTTCTTAAGGTTCATTGGGTTCTAGAACTTTTAGCTGCAACTGCACCGCTGTGGGCCACGGTCCTGAGGTCGTGGCTCACTATTACCCGATCATCCCAAAACAAAGCTAAGATCACCAACGCCTCCTCCAAGCGCATTTTATTGTATCGGCAATGTGCATGTAGATACGTTTCACCACGTCGATAGGCATTGACTATATTTTAGATCAGCTAAGAGGAACGTTTGGTCCGAGCTGTAGTGCACATGCTTCTGCATCCCCGTTACTTTTCTCCAAATTTTGAATTCATCACCATAAAATGTAAATGTAAAGGACCTAGAACAGAGCTTGGTGTCACTCTACTAAATACTGGTTTTGATGAGGAATATCTGAAATTTACTCTTACTTTTTGTCGACGACCTACCAATAAATGTCTGATCCGTTTTAGAAAAAGGTACTTCAAGCCCTAGCTTTTCCAGCTTTGGGAAAATTCTCTTATGCGATATCGCATTGAATGATTTACTGATTTCGACGTAAACAATGCCAGCTGGTTTCCTATTACTGAACGACTCTGTTCATCACTCTCTCGCTATAAGGAGGTTGGTTATGCGGGATAGTTCCTTACTGAAACCATGTTTCTCACTGACTAACAAGTTGTTAGTTTCCATTATCATAATGACTTTTTTAGTTACTCTCTCCAGCGTTTTAACTACGACGCTAATGAGGCTGATGGATCTGTAGTTTGATTGGTGTTGTCTTGATCATATCTTGTAAGTTGGGGTGACACTTGCATTTTCTCAGTTCACAGGTAACTTACTCTGGCTGAGTGATATTCTAGAGTTCGTTGTCAGTTGGGTAAAAATGTATAATTCAAACTGTCTCAGGATTTTGGGGTACAACCCGTTCGGTCCTGTTGATTTTTCCATTTCTAAAATCCTTCGTACTTTTAGTACGTTCTTGTTTGATGGTTTTAAGTCATAGTACGTGATTCGTTAGGAGCAGCTTTTCCACACTCGTTTGCCTAACTGCTAACGGATTTAAACCAAATAACATCTTTTTTCTCCAAAGTTTGAAGGTTGTCATCTATCACAACTGTTTTTTGTTGAAATATTGTCAATAAAGTCAGTGTGTTCAATCTTTGGTCCGTGAAGTTGGGAAGTATAAATATTTGAATTTTCAGTCATTTTCATCTTGAAATGTCATTCATCAGTAATTGTGGATAAGTTTCATCGAGTTGCCCTGCAGACAGGAATGTTTTATTGTGAGAACTCAGCTGACTCACAGTTTAAGGATTTTAGCGCTGATTTCTGTTTCGTAACCAGCTCTGGTAGCAATACAGAAAATTGTATCTGAATGTTTTATTTAATTGATACAAATTGTCCCAGTAATGCGTGTTCACATATATTGTAGTTAAACTTTGTTTTCGAGCATTTTATAAAATAAATTATACTCCATATTTATGTACCATAAGTTCTTTATTGAACATCAATTTCATTTTATATATTTCAGGAACAGTATAGCATCCAATAAACTACAAGATGAAAGTTGATGATGTTGAACAAGATTGGTTGTTTTATCTTGCCCAGCCAAATAAATTATTATCGGATATTGAGGGTTTAACTATATCACATCAGTTGGAGTTGCTTAAACAATCCTTATCACAGGCTGAAATAAGTGAAAGAAAAACTAGTTTCACTAATTGTGAAAATAATTCAGTGGACAACTTCATCGGAGAAAATGAAATTATGAATCCTGATGACATATTTGTAGAGTCGTCTAGGTTATTCAAAAAGTCAAAAGTTTTGGATATAATGTCCTTACAGATTGCTGCTAATCTAAAATTCAATCTAAATCTTTTTCGAGTCATATCAGAAATACCCATTAAGCTTCTTGCACGTCTCTATAGAGTGCTCGTCATGAGTACTTCAAAATTTTCATCAGTGTTACAACCTCTGTTTGAACAGGCGATAAATAAAGAAAATATCTTCACTATAAATCCTTACGGATACTATACATGGTCTCAGTTAAATCCTATGACAATTTATGGTTTAATGTCTTACCATATATGGTGCCTTCATGTATGTTTGTGCATTCACATGACATTAATATAGTTTAGGTATCTCATACATCCAGTATGTTGCCACATCCCTTTCGAAATCTTACTCCTATTGTTTCTGGCTTAACTGAGATTCCTGAGGTGGTGTTTTTTGCGGATAATCGCGTGGAAGTTGGCGTTGTTCTCACTCGCATACAAGAGTCTGTAAATCAGCTAAACGAAATCAACAATCTTTTGGATGATCTCAACATAGCTAGACCTCTTCCTTCAGTGTTTTCAGCGCTGAATTCTATGCTTCCTACAGTTTTTGAACCAAAGATTAAGTCTGCTGAGGATGATCGGAACGATAACAGTCTATCAAATTTTGTTCTTAATAACTCTATACCTCTCTCTAAAAGCTATCTTTCTGCATCGCTTAACTTTGTACTCGGAAGGTATGCCTTTCAGCAGCAACAGTTTACTCAGTCACAGAAGCTTTTTCAAATCGCTTATGATGAAATGCAAGATCAAAAGGTATTTTACATTTATGTAGTTATTCGGTGAATGACTTTATCATTTTATTGACAGATGGTCAAAAGCAATAATTAACTTGCACTACATAGTTTATATTACAAATGATAAATAACGGTCTTGTTATTCACCAGAAATGAAAACAATTTTCTTTTTCTCATCCCTTTAGATTGTAGCTTTTAAAGATTTTGAATGTCATCATATTTTAGAGATATTTCTTTTGCATGAATGAATTGAGAGGCATCGGTAATATAATGGCTGTTGCATTTGACAAATTCAGCATTCGAAAGTTTGACTATGTAGGAAGGTTCTGACTTGATTGGAGATGTAATCTCTCAGTATTTTTGTGTAATGAGGAAATGGTCACTGTAATTGGGCAATGACATCATCAGTATACGGTTGTGGAGGTCGTTGAGTTTTGTTGAGATAACAGACCGGGTTAAGTTTAGCAACCATTGGAAACTTGCAGAGCTGTTTCGTTCAGACGTGACGAGTGGAGTTCAGTTGTGTTGGATGCGAGAAAGTTACCCACATAAAACAATGGAAAGTGGTCACGCAGTATTGTGGATTGATTGAAGTTAGACTAGTACACTATTGAGTCTCAACTCAGTGGTTCAGAAGTTAAGTGTCCGCGTGCGAGACCATACGTCCTGGGTTCGATTCCCGATTGAAGAATCGTGGATGCACATTGATGAGGAGTCCCATACTAGATCAGAACAGCTATCCGGTGCTTCCAGGTACTCAGTGTTTATCTAACTTGGACCCTTTGTGATCTCGTTGAAACTTATCAGTTTAGGCATCCGATTTTGAACTATAGTTTCAAACCGTAAGATTGAAAGTAGTGAGAACATACAGGGAAACCAAGTCATAGGATTAACTTAACAGTATCTTTTAAAGCTTTGTGTAAAAACCTCTAGGAGTCATTAGGCACCACGAAATCGAATAATAATATGGTCGAACTGTGATTCGGTTCTCGTAATTTTTAATCCACTGTAATGCATAGTGTTGTTTTGACAACTGACTCCATGTTATACCATCTTTCCCAAATTTCCAATTATTAACTTGTATTCACTTAACTTTATTTAACTGACCTTTAGTTTTCATATATAAGTACATTGACAAGTATATACACATGACCAGGTTGTTCGAAGTGTATTGTGCAAGCACATCAAGTTTCACTTGTTTTCGTTGGGTCTGTTGTTCAGAAAAGGTTACTAATCAACTAGTGAGTAGTCTCAGTTTGTGTTTATGGTTAATTGAGTGTTTGCAGTTAGTAGGTAGGAGAGTGATTTGATATTTGGTCAAGTTCGATGTTGTTATAAGCTGAACTGATCATGAATCGATTACTTCTAACGGGTTTAACAGTTGATAATATAATTTAAATAACTTTTCTTCTTTAATTTAAGAACCATATCAACTCAGCTGACTCAGTCACACAAATTGAGCTTGAGGGATTTTTGTACAGGTTTTTCTTCACACTTTACAAGTCTGATTTGCTGAATGTACGCAAATCACATATTGTATTCGATCTTAGTTTTATTTTTGGTTTGGACGCATAAACAGCACAAATGGGTACCAAAGTATGTATGCTTCACACAGAGAAGTAATTATTCGATTTGTGTGTAATCTGGGACACTGTCTGGGTACCAAAACAGTCAGGTAGTCTCCTTAGGGGGCCAGTCCTCGAGCATTTGACGTGGAGGTCTAATCCACAAGGTGGTAGAGCGACGTTAGGAAATGTGATCCCATGGTAGCCGGTGACCAACGATAGGTCCATACACCTTTTGCTTCCTCACTATTCTGGAACACATGTGCAAGATTAGTTTGGAATCATGGTTTTCAAATTGCACTCAGTGAATCCTCCATACTCACCAACCCGGTTAAATCGCCAGACATTTGCTTCTTGTTCTCGATTTTGTAAGCAACACCCTTGTCATGAGGCGGTGAGTAAAACTTCTATGTTAGTGGCTGTATACGCATGTCCATGTGGGAGAATTTGGAGAGGGTGAGGGGACCCTTTTCATTCTCTGTAGCATCAGGGCATTTGGTGACCAATTCTAGTTTACTTTTAGTTTATAGGCATCAACATCAAGGCTTAGCTTGATAATATCAAACAAACTGAGCATTTGATAGAATGTTCATAATAAAATTATAATATCTCAGTGAGTAGAAGTTTAAATTCCTGACGTTTCACGACATAGTTTATATTGCTTTTTCGGAGTTTAGATAAATCATTATTCACTTACTCTTTACATATCTCCAGATATCACAAATATATCAATGATTTTGCGTATACTTATGACAAAATATTCGACTAACTGGTTAGTCAATGGCTATGTATACAATTTATATAAAACTATTTACTTCTGTAATGCATCCTGTCTCAGAAGGAAGAAGGAGTTTTTAGTTGAGTATTTTATCCTGGTCTGGTGAAGACAGCATACATACAAAAGAGAATGTTGAAGTTTTGATAATTGGGATATATTCCACTAATTTGGCACAAAGTCAGTAAATATGTAGTCAATAAGTATGTAGAAATGAATAATGCGTTCCTATTACCAGACTCCCGGAGTGCTCTATCCAGCATTCGAATCTATGACCTAAAGCCTAAAAGTCCAATACTTTTGCATATGAACCACCATTCTACGCTAGGCCATGGGATTTATTGGAGAAGTTTAAAGGAAATACTTTAGTAAAAGCAATTCAAGATGTATGAAAATGAGATAGAACGGTTTGCAAAAGTGGAAATTATTTTCTACTGAAGTTTCGGAGATCATGCCTATGTTACCTTATTACCAATTTTTTGCTTAAAATGAGTAAAGTTAACGAAACTAGGTTTCTATTGTTTTTTGTAAAGTATGCAATAGAACTGTTGTACTTTTAACCTGATAGACACAACTGTGTCGTCATACTTTATAGATTTACTTTCTACGTTTTTTATTTTTGCTGATTTATTAAAGTTATCATCCAGTGTTTCGTCCTCATGTTATTGTAACCGACTTTTTTGAAAATATTTTCTATCGTCTAATTTACAGTTTGAATATTTAGATGAAGCAGGAGCTACACCGAAATTACTACAGGCTTATTTAAGTGCTTGCAAATCATACACATCTTCAGACTATATTTCAAACGAATTTTCACTTTTCCAGTCTGACAATCAATTTTTAGAAACATTTTGTCGTTTATTAGAAGTAAATACATCCGATTCTCATCATAAAGATTCAATCAATATATTTTGGATTCAACCATCGGATACATCTTGTACAACATCCGTCAATATGGAATCTACTACCATAGAAGATCATCTTTATCAAGTTTTACTGAATGTGGACCAATTTTTCATTGATGATTCATCTAGTCCATATATTCCAATTAGTTTAGGAGTTCGTAATAAATTAGAAAGTTTGTGCTTAAAACAACTGCATAATTGTACTAGTTTACTTGATGATACAAACGATACTGCAAGAAATATGCCTTCTACAAAACAATCAAAGCATACTAAGAAGTTATTATCAAATGATAAAATGTCAATTTTTAACGCAGTTCATCAACTATTCACTAAGGTATGTGTTATGTTCTTGGATATCTTTTTGATTACCTACAGTGTAGGATGATGGTTGGAGGTGGTCAACAAGAAACCCTGTAGACCTTAGGTTTCATGCTATTTGGTACTCGTCAGGAAGGTGTACCTGTAATCTTGAGGAAACTAGTGCACCCTAGCTGATCCAATCCTGTGTCACCTAACTTCACAGTTAATTACAGTACTATTGAGCTATTTCGACCTCGACTGACCTATATGACTGGATTATATTTGTGATGGATTGATCATTGAGTAATGACCAATTCCGTGTATATCAAGTTCTTAATGCTGATCGAATACTATCGATCAGGTTGCAATGTATTGACTAGTCTACTCAACATCACTTGCACTATGTTAATATGTAAGGTGATGATGACCACATTGCAACTTGATCTATAGAATTCGGTCAACACTAGGAAAAACTTGACATATATGACACTGGTCACTGCTTAGTTAACAATTAGTTACTAATTTACTCTCCCTATCTCTTCAAAAATGTGAACTATGCCAATCGGAACTGATAGACATTTATGTCCCACATATCAACTATGATTGACAGGTTTTATGTACTAGTTTTTGTACAATACTTCTTTTTTATGAAAGTTAATCATGCAACGCGTATATTGTATCCATAGTTCAAACCATGATATGATCATAGACTACCAATCTAGGCTGTTAAAATCCTGGAAGTATTAGGTGGTTGTTTCGTTTCATCATGGAACTCTAGCAGTTCACATCTACGACCTCTCATCTGGAAATCAAACCCAAGACTTTATTGTTCATTATCTTCAATATAGAGACGCGTTTAAAAATGAGTGGCCAAACATATCAATTAATTTTCTTCCAAAAAAAGGTATCTCACACTGTAAACATTTAAAATGAAGAGGAAGAATTTCAGGCAATGTATGTTTTAAAAAAACGAAATTTATTGTTTCATTGGTTAATCCTTGTACATTTTTCATCTTTCTAATTTTTATTTGCCTACTTTTATATTTAATATTTCGTCATATTGTTTTATTTTTCAGGTACATATATGTAATACAGTTGACCAACTAATGTCTGAATCTATAGAATTGCCACTTTCATTATCAACTGAATTGTTAATGAATATTCCGGAGAGAAATTCTGAAAGTTCAACAAAAAATGAACACAGGTCATCGTCTTCATTGTCTTCATCATCATCATTTTCTCCTCCATTTATCGATGTAATAATTGGACGAGAATTTCTGTTTGATTGTTTAACTTCTATAATGGAAAGGCTGTCTACTAAAAATTCGAACTTATCATCTTCGTCTCAATTTATTGTTATATGTCAATATATAAGATATTTAGTTCAAGAAGGGATTTGCTTACTTGGTAATTTAGTGCATAAACCACTTCCTAAATCGAATTACGAATTAAATTCAATACAAAAGAATTATCAAGATTTATTAAAAACACTTGTATCACATAAATTGGTAGGTCTGTTAACTCTCTAGTTAAGAGTATCTTACTTCTTTCAGTTGTTATTGTTTCGCTTATTTTCATTTAATTTCATAGGTTGAAATCATGAATCAATTGAAGCTAGACCACCATTGAAAACCTGGAAGCACTGGACGGCCGTTTCGTCCTAGTATGGGACTCCTCAGCAGTGCGCATCCACGACCCCGCACCCCGCGGGATTCGAACTCAGGACCTATTGGTTCCGCGCGCGAGCACTTAACCATTAGACCACTGAGCTGGCATCCAACGGTGTTAATGTCTGTTGCGAGATATCAGCTCACTGAAGACAATGGTGTATGGTGGCGCAACTTCGTGCGTCCCATACTAGGACGAAACGGCCGTCCAGTGCTTCCAGGTTTTCCATGGTGGTCTAGCTTCAAATGACTCATGATTTCAACTATTGAAATTTGTAAAAATCTCCACAAAACCCATTCTGGTATTCTCATATAAGGCAAAAAAACAGTTTACATTTGTTAGTTTTTATTTTTATAATCACCCCTGTACTAGTATCATTGTGCTATGACCTTATCTTATTGTTGAACATTTTACGTTTAATCTTGTGTTCTGTAAGTGCTATGTTCGCTACTTGATTAACGCATAATACGGTATACAACTACGGCACTCGAATGTATAGATCCCACAGTCGCAAAATCAGAAGACAAAAGAAAGCTGGGGAAAAATGGATAATTTCAGATCCGTTTTATATCGGGAGGATTAACTCATGAAATTGAATATTCAAATAAATGTCGGTAACCTTTAACATCCCTTCCCTAAGAATTACCACTACTTGTGTGTTTTCTTGAATTTAACCAACAGATTTTAAAGTTATCTTTGGATCTCAATTCACGTATTTTCTGTTTTAATTCATCATAAAAGCCTGATCATCGAAAACTAATTACTAAAATCTATCATTCTGGGAATTCTTATTTCAAAAGCTAGTGTAATATACATATGTAATAATAATTTCCATATATTACACATAAAATTAATAATAAATAATTTACCGCTTCACTGACATGTGTGATGATTCTGCAAAAGTGGAAAACATGGCATCTATGTACATCACTTCAAATGCCCTGGTATGGTCGAGGGTAGGGAAAGTCAGCCCTTTCTTGAAATGCTCTCACATGGCCACGCGTATACAGCCAGTCTGTTAGGGAAGTCCTATTCACTGCCTTCTCGCGGCGGGGGTGTTTATGAAATTGAGGGGACGAAAAGCAAATATCCGGCGCTTTAACCGGGTTGGTGGATATGGAGGGGAGTTAGAAAACACTCATTCCAAATCAATGGTGCGCATGGGCTCCAGGATCCTGAGGAAACAAATGGCGTATGAACCTGTTGTTGGTCACTGGTCACCGTGTGACTGCATCTCCCTACCATACTCCACTGCCTTGTGGATCAGACCTTTCAGGTCGAAGGCTCCGTGGGTGGCCCCCTAAGTAAACTACCTGTTTCGGTTTGGGCACCCGGGCAGTATCATAGCCCATACACAAATCAGGTGACTTGTGTGGCGCACATGTATTCGGTGCCTCTTTGTACCAATATTTAGGTGTTCGATTAAATAAATAAACCACATAAACACAGTGGGATGAGATTATTGATTTAAATACTAAGGTTGTTTATCCACTGATAGTATCAATGTCAGTAAAATATATTCGGTATTTTACCCAACTTTTCTAACCATTGTTAAAGATAATCGTTCACACCTTAACCAAGTGGTCTGCACCTACTAACAGGGCTCAGTTTAATAATCAATGACTTTATAGACTGATGCCAAGCTTCAGTTTGGCCGCCGCTAGTTTTCGTTCAACTTACCTCTTCTACACCAACTAAAATAAGTAACACATGCTTTAGCCACCTCAGTGAATTAAAAAGATTCGTATTGTTTGCCTGGTACATTCGTTCTATTTTTGGCAGATGGATATCTCACCTACTCCACAGGCCACATAAGTTTGTAAGAGCAGCACTGTAGAATTTGCTTGGATCACATTCATATAGAGATGGTTCATTTTATATATGTATCGTCACATACTTTCTTTTATTCAGATGGATTTCTTACCAGAATCTTGCAGAAAATATATCCAATCTATTTTCCAAGCAGTAAATTTTGGAAGTTCGTCGGAAACGGAAGTAAAATCCGACCCTATTTGTGCCTTTATTCCTGACCTTCTTTCTGACCTACCTAGTCTAGATATTGATCTTGATTCGAACTTATATCAAATTGATCCGGATGGCTTAAATTCTCTGGGACTTGGATTCTGGGCAGACTATGAGGTATATCAAAATACTACATCGTTCAGACAACAGATATCCAGAGGCGGATCCCCATTTGGGATTGTTGGTGATGTGGATATGCGCAGCTTAGCTAATCAGAATCAGTCTCCATCAACATCATTTCCTCATATGTCTATTCCACAATCCCGTGTAACTGGTGGACATGGACCTTTTGTTCATCAATCACTTCAAACTTATACTAGAGAAAACCCACTTGTATGCGATCTTCAAGTAATGCGTCATCTTTTAATAACAAGAAATCCAACCGATGTAAATATGTCAGTCGATTATCTGTTAAGGTCAGGTATGACACCAAATGGAATTTTAGAATTAAATGGTTCGTGGCTCCCATCTTTACATTATTTAGCTTCACTGGAGATAGTCGGACCACATCCTACCAATGAGAATAGTGTAAGTTATTATGTATTGATCTATTTAATTTATGTAATCTTTTCTCTAACAAATGAATCAAGTTGTTTTCAATAGGTAAATACATTCCCAACATAGCTCTCGGTCCAACAAGTGATGATTTCATGAGTGAAGTATATGCTAAAAAGTGTACCAAATAGCCAGATTTATAAATCTGAACTTTGTAAGTGATTTACATCATTCCTTCAATATTGAATGTGTCGATTGCTTCACTTATCTTGGGAGTCTCATCAGTACTGATGAGTTGGTGTCCGACGAAGTATTTGCACGGATTCAGAAGGCCCGATTCGCTTTTACCAAATTGCGTCATTTGTGTCGTGGGTGAGAAATTCGTCTATCAACCGAAGTAGGAGTTTACTTTACGGCAGTTCGCTACGTTCTACTTTTTTGGTGCGAAATATAGTCACTAAGAATAGAATCTTCACACGTTACTAATGTTCGATCTTAGGTGTCTTCGAAGCACATTTCTCGTATATTTTGAGACCACTGAGTAGGAAATCTTGGGATTAGGAATGGAATGCTAGATAAAGATGGCAGATCAGTTGATGAGGTGGTAAGTCTTCATCGATTGAGGTGTTTGGGTCTTGTTTTACGTATGTTCGACCACTGTCTATCCCGACGGCTAATGGTGCGTGGTGCAAGTTGTTGCTTCAGGACTGGCCTGCGTCAACACCTGAACTTGAGGGTAGGGGGTGAAGTAGTCGAGCGTGTCGACAACTTCACTTATTTCACAGGTTGAAATCATGAGCCAGTTAAAGCTAGACCACCATTGAAAACCTGGAAGCACTGGACGGCCGTTTCGTCCTAGTATGGGACTCCTCAGCAGTGCGCATCCACGATCCCACACCACGCGGGGCTCGAACCCAGGACCTACTGGCTTCGCGCGCGAGCACTTAACCGGCTCAGTGGTCTAATGGTCTGATCAGCCCTAATGGGTTGGTGTCTGACGAAATATCTGCACGGATTCGGAAAGCTCGTTTGGCTTTTGCCTACTTACGTTACCTATGGCGAAGGTTAGATATCCGTCTATCAATTAAGGGACGAGAATAATGCGCAGCAGTTCATTCTGCTATACTTTACGGCTTCAAAACGGGGCCACTAATAGTAAAGATATTCGTAAGTTACTAGTATTTGACCACAGTTACCTTAGAAATATTGCTCACATCTGCTAGGATTATCGGGTAAGTAATAGTGAGGTTAGACGCATAGTATTAGGGAATTATGGTAAGTCAGTTGATGAGGTTGTGAATCTTCATTGACTGAGATAATTTGACCATGTGTTACGTATACTTGAACACCGATTACCATGACGCGCAATCCTGACTAGTGTTGGGGATGGTTGGAAGAAAGTTAGGCGAGGCCAAACCGAAATGTGGCGTCAGTCTTTGAAGTCACTAACTTCTAGCCTTAGCTATGTTGTTAGATGCAGACTACTTGGTTGGGGTCCACGTTACTATCGTAACTAGTGATTAGAGACCTTGAATGACATTGCTCAAAATCTTTTTAAGCGGCTCAGATGCATCCACTCTTTGTGTTTTAAATCCTAATTTGTTAAATTCCTCATGATCTTTTTAGTTCACAGATTTATATTTTCTTGAATCATTATCTTCGATACCTTGTCTTTTCTATTACCACTAATACTGTTACTACTTATATTACCCTGGGATTTGCCTTGACAATTTCATCTCTCCTGTGCTAAATGGGATGTGGCAACTTCGGCCGAGCTACACACGTACCAGGTTCTACCTTGCGTTTGAATGACCGACTAATTTTAGTCATTAATCTATGATCAAATAATATGGTCAAAGTGTTAAAATATACATTATTTTTGCTATTTTTGTGTCTCACTTTAAGTCAACCAATCCAATCGATTTATTGTTATCATCATCCGGAAATATTATGTGGGGGATTACAGTATTAATACAATTGGCTAAAGGTTCATCCATAATTCGTCATGAAATGTCACCATTCACAGGAGCTAGGGCTTTTTTACTTGCTGCTTTAAATAATCTGGCGTCAATTAATCCTATCGTACCGCCTCCATCGTCATCATCTGTTAATCATGTTACAACAACATCCGGTCATGTAGTTGCAAAACAATCACGTCCGTGCGATGCTTTTCAATGGATTCGTGCTGGTATCAGACATGAATTATTATTGGTTGACTTACTGGTAAGTTTATTGAAATTCATCTATTTGCCAGTGTTACTTTTTCGTAATTTCACCAGTTTTAAAGCATTGGATCTCTCCTGAATGGGTTCATAGAATTCCCTTTATATGTATATGGGATTTATGGATTTTGAAGACGTTTAAGTGTTTCCTCATGATGTGGAACTGCTAAGTTAATAATATTCGGCATGGGCTTACATTTTCCGGTATGATAAATGAATCTATTGATAAGGTTTTAAGGTTAGAGCGCGTGTTACAATGTTCAGTCACTAATTACATGACTGTCGTAGAAGCAACGTGACCTTAGTTAGATAACTAGTGGAAAATAAGAAACACTGAACAGTTTGTTTCGTCGTATTATGGGTCTCAGTAGTGGTCACCCACAACCCTAACCTACTATTGTGTTTGTGTCGACTTAACTTGAGTCATACCGATTTTGGATAATATTACCTCTATTTTTCCAGTTTTTCGAACTCTACTTGCTACAAGTCATCAAGTGTTATTCAGTTTCTGTTTAAACAATGTTAAACCATTATTTATGACTTGTTTCACTAATGATGATGGTTTTATATTTTAAAGTATTCGTTATAAACTTACGTAAGATCTTGACAATATAGACGTGTTGATTGATTTTGTTTGTTCTCCATTTTTACACCTTTTTCAAGTTTAGTTCTCTTTATTTTAATAATCGAATAGAAAGTTTTACCAGTTTCATAATGGTGTTAATATATTTTTTGATTATCTGGTTGAAGACAGTTGGAATGAACTCTTAGGTTTATGATTCATAGATATTGTTTCATTTATGTGTGTATATGTTAGAAAAATCTGTTATCTAACTTGTCTTATTTAGTGATGTTAAGTTCATTCAATTAATTTTAAATTATGAAAAATATATTTAAAATGTTATTGTCTTTTTCAAATTAAAACAATAAAATAAGGAATTCTTGAATCCATCTTCATTTAATAATTTCGGTGGAAATAATAATCAGTCACATTCAATTACAAAATCAACTCTTCATCCTGGACAAGTATCATTAAATGATCTAATTAGACGAGTTAAAATATGTCTGTGTTATGCTGCTGGTTTATCATCAAATGCGAATTCTTTAGAAACAAAAATGGAATCCATGAACTTGATTGCTTTGTCTAAGGAGTTAATTACTGCAGCCACTTGTTTCTTGTTAATGGTCAAAGTAAGTTTTAAATTTTCAATGTTCGCTATAATATAATATCTGCTGAACTGTGTAGTTATCGTAGTCAGTCAGTGGATAGATAGTTGAGGAGTCCAACTTTTATTTACCAAGTTTCAGGTTCGCATACTGCCCGACATACTTTTCGGTTTTAGCAACACTCACATTTAAAATATAGCTCTGGAAGCTAAGCACACGAATCTCTACCTTGTTATGAGGTAGTAGTAATGGTAGTGTCATACCTTAATTTCCTGTAAGTGAATACTTTATTGGTTATTTAAGTGGATCAAGGACTTGGTTGTTAAAACGCTTGACTTTCAGCAGATTGCAGGTTTGAACATGGGCTCTCCCCACTCCACCTGCTTTGATTCTAGTACCTAATTAGTACAACTAGACCTCATGCAAATGACATGCTCCAAAATAATATATATATACTTGTATTTAGTAAAAAAAATTATACTTCGTTGTTAGTGTTTTCATGTGAGTATATGGTCACTGTTTAGAGTAATCAATGACAAGCTTAGTCGTCTTCTGTGTAATTATGTATCAGGTTATTGACAATATTTAAATGTCGATAGAACAATGAGAAGACGGAGTTGATCTGAAAAATGTGATGTATTAGCGCTATACATTTCGAACAATCTGGTCACACATATACACTTGTCAGGGCATTTTTATATGAAAATTAATAAAGGTCAAACAAATAAAAGTACAATTAGAATAACTAAGGTGAGAGAAAGAATAAGAAATTGTCGCGTTATCGTAGGCCATAGAATGACTCAAGGATTACCAAGGTAAACTCAAGGTTACAACAAATTGTTTTTGTACACATAAGGGGGGTTTAAATTTACGAATAGCCAAGGCTTCAATAAACTTAAGAATTCGACCTTGATAATTTCTGTGCAACATTCTAAATGCTGTATTAATGTTAATTTTGCGCCCCGTCTCAATTATATGTTTTGCTATCGATGAGCTTGGTTTTCTACCTCTTACATTGATCGGATCATTTGACATACATTGATTTTGAAGCCATCTAGGCACATGTTCATTGACCCTTGATTGCATTGTTCGATTACTCCTCCCTATGTATGTGTGTCCACACAAACATGTAAATTGGTAAATACAATGGGATGTGACGTAATCATTGGTGCATTGTTTGGGTGGAACAATGCTTGCCGTTTTACTTTCGGATATTTTATGGTGTTACCTTTATACTCCTAATTTTTATCTTACGAAACAGTAAATGATATCCATTTGTATTGTTTGTTCGGATCTTCCCATCGATCAATTTCAGTCCTAAATATCAATCGGAAGATTCAAGCGAACGGTACAAATGAACTAAATCTCACCTCATTGCACAAGCCAGTGGTTACCTGGAATCAGTAGCTAAGTGGATAACACGATGGCGTTTGAAGCAAGTGATAATGGGTCGGAGTCCTGAAGTGAGCATCAAATCTCCGATCCAGGTACATTGAGCTGACAAGTCCTGAATCCTACTGCTAGCTACCATCCATTTCTAATTGCAGTGAATGATATCATTTTTACCTTGAGGTTATTGTAGTGCACCTTGAAAGTATTACTAAAATAGGTTTGTCGATGTAATATTACTTGCTTATGGGTAATGGATGAGTACATGAACATTAGTTTTTCAGTTTAAACCTGCTAATTATTTATAAGACTGCAACTTAGTTGCTCGATTATGAATTTTGTAATCCGTTCATTTATTGAAGATTAAGAATTCAATTGATGTCACACTGATCTTCAACACAGTTTGTATGTGTGCATATATTTGTGTTGATATCACAAAATCATAGTTGTACAGTACTCAGAAAGAAAAGTAAACTACTACGAACGGATTAAACTAATGTGCTTGTTATTCATAGCTTGAGGTAAAGACGAATTTTTCTTCATATTGAAATTCATTTTTCTCAGTTTCCTTTCACTCATTTATGATGTCTTATGTACAATAAATCTGGATTATAAATTACATTAGTTTGTGTTCATCTGAAGAATGATGTTTCATCAGTCACTGGAAATCAGTGCAACAGATTACTATCGTTCTATGAGAATTTCCTATATTAACTTTTCACTGAAAATAGTACTGGATTTGTTGTAAGGTATGCTGAGTATTGTATTCAGTTGTTCATTTTCACCATTGAAGAAAAAAACATTCAAGTCTGTTAGTCATTCAGTTATAATCAACGTCGGGCTTGGTATAAATATGCATTGGTTTTAGTTGTTCTATTATAGAAAGGTAGGATTAGATAAAATTAACAAGGTGAATAGCAAAGGAATGTAGTAGCAGTTATAATTTGAAAGACTAAACATTGAAAGTATGGTACAAAAAGATGGGATCTAAAAGTATGCGTGAAGGAATACTTCAACTCAAGACCCAGAGAAAATGATGAAGAGCCAGTGCATTTGCACCAACGTGGTCGATTCTAAGCCACCACTTATTATCTTCAACTTCTGGCCACAATAACCGTACAGACCCTAATCAAGTAGTCTGTACCTACCAACTTGGGTATGATCAGCAATTAAAGATTTCATGGACCCGTGCCGTATCTCCGTTTATTCTCTTTCTTCCAACCTATTCCTACATCGGATGACATCGCACCTTAAAGTAGGTAGTGATCGAAAATGTTTGGTAAATGTCTTAAATCATTTCAATTGATGAGGATTCCAACCTCAACCGATTTGGTATTTTTCCTGGTATCCTATTCCAGTAAGGATTCAAATAATGGAAAATAAATCTATTGCTGGTTGGTACAACTGGATATTATATATTGATTTTTATCAGTGTGTAACATATATAAGCCTTGTCCATCTGAAACATTAAGTTGGTTTATTATATTTCTATTACTAATAACTTAAAGTGTAACAACAAAGTGTGTCCATGATAATAATAAGAAAAATTTCCCACTTTGTATACTCTTTTCTGTTCTTGTCTTAGGAATGTGATTTCTTGTATCCCATGTCAATTCCATCAAAATCTATTTCACTACCTTCCGGAAGCATTTCATTTTGTGTCGCATGTGCTGGTTCCTTAGATTTAATTCGTATTCTTTTACATTTTCATGAAGTATTACATTCATCATCATTGTCTCATGAAAGTTCCAATTCAACCACCACCACATCATCATCAACAACAACAACAAACTCTCCTGTAAATTCAGAAAAACAAAATTCTAACCATTCAATCAAAAACATTTTAAGCGCTACCGTTAAATTTGGTAATGCAGATAGACTAAAAACTGTTATAAATGAATTTTATGGATTAATTATTCATGGATGCCTTGTCTCTGCAAATAATTCTATAGATACAGTAAATAATTTAGCATTATCTGGATCGGAACAATCCGCACTACAACAACAACACCAACGTAGTTCTCGAAATTACGATCCAGGTTAGCATATATGTTTACAAAAGTGTTTTATGAATGATGCTAACTAGTTTCCGTTTCCCTTTGATTAATCGTTAGACGACTAATCATCAGTTTATCTATTACTGTTGGGAAATGCATTGTTTTGTAAAAATTATACGAGAATCAGTCAAGATGAGTTTAATGAATGATCAATTTGAATTTTTAAACCGCGCCTATAACACTCATATCCTGATTGGCTGGGTTCCAAAAACATAGCATAGCACTTATAGATATCTGTTTATTTTTCTCTGTGGTATTGTTGGTTGGAAGGATGAGCAAATCTTTGACTTTCGTTTATCTTGTTAGCAGCCTAGATGTTGAGTCAACTCGTGAATTGTAGTCAGGTCTGGTTTGTAGCAATCAAGCAGCACTAGTGATTTACTTGTAAATCCTTATGTAATTCTGGCGCTAAATAAATTTATGAACAGACTGTAGGAGATGTTTGTAGATTACTTTTACGAAAAATAATCATTTTATTGTGTAATTTACTTATCTTTAAGTATCTAAAAATAATTATTTTTTAAAAATTGTAGACTTCACTTCACAATAAGACTCAATGTATAATCTTGATAAATAGTTTTTACAATTAACTGAATGGATTAATCATAATTAGTCTAATGTATAGATTGTATTTGTCAAAGATTGGTCTCATTTCAGGTAACATTGAAAATCAGGTTACCACTGAATATATGGGGTGCAGTAATGTCTGAAGCCAAAACAACTTTATTCATTAACAATGGAGGATTGTAGCAATTTATTACAGAGATTGACCAAATTTGTAACTGTCCCGTTAATTGTAGATGCAGTGGTTCTAATGGTTAGACGTTCACCATAAAAACTGAATATCTTGGATTCAATTCTTGGTGAGGTTGTGAATGTTTACTTTTAAAAAGTCTCAAACTAGAACAAATAATCTATTCAATGCTTCCTAGTCTTCTATAGTACTTTAACTAAGATCAATCTATGAAGAATACAGTGTTTTTAATTTGACAATTAGTTTGTATATTTTCCAATATTAAATTTCATTATTAATATTGTATGTAAAGTTTTTATTTATTTATTTACAGATACATTATCTAATCGTTCTGGGATCAGTTTGTCTAGTTTATACATTATAGGTGAAATGTTAGCAACAATAGATGAAATTTCAATTTTAATGTCTACTGTTGGACTTAAATTTCCTCTAGATAATAAACGTATACTTTCTAATTATTCATTTATTGGATTGCAATTATTAGATTATTTAATAATTGGGTTCGCTCAAATTACACATCAAATTTGTGGAAAATTTAACTTACAAATATTAGAACAAATAATTAATTGTTTTAATACAGTTAATAATGTAGAAAATATAAAAAATGATGAACAAGTGAATGAAGATACATTAACTACAACAAAAGGGACAACTACTACCATCACCACCAGTGTTACTAATACTGATTCACAGTCTACTACTAAATTTCGATCTTCTAGATGGGATAAACCAAAAGATAATTTATCCACTACTAAAAAACATAATAATAGTAATAAACAATATCATTCTGACAGTCATGAATGTGTGTCGTTTCTAGATAAACAACTGTGGATTTTAGACTTGGAAACGAATTCTTCAGTAAGTCTGTTTATATACATGTTATATTTATAATAGATAATTCGATTTATATGATAATTTTCCAAAATAACTCATTTATACACTGAATACAAGTTAATGTAATTGGCTTGGTGACATAAGTTTTCTTCGTGCGTGATGAAATTAATGTTATTATTGTCTAGCTATGGATTGAATGTTTAATTTTTGATGTAGGCTTTGAAATTCCATTGTTTTAGCTAGAAAGCTACAGTTTTATAAAGAAATTCGACTCTTGTATTCCAGTTCTCAGTGAATGCAGCAGTTAATATTGTCACTCATGAATTACTTATATTTATTTTGCATACAAGCTAGTTACCAGAACACTTGTCATAATACTGCATAAAACAAGTAAAACTTAATCGTTCATAATTCATCTCATTCTATAACGTAAATTGGTGCAATTAGTACATGAAAAAGGAAATTTACAAGTTATATAATGAACTGATCTTAGTTAGATAACCAGCACGAATATGGAAGCACTGGACAGCCGTTTCGTTTTTGTATGAAATTTCGAAACAGTATGAGTCTACTGGGGATCAGACCCGGGACATTCAAATCTTGAGGTGTGTGCTTAATCCACAGTCTATCAAGTTAGCATCCAATGTTCCACGTATTTAACTTTAATTACTGTCGTGGTAGAAGTGTCTAACGTTTCTCTGACTGAAATCAGTCCGTGAAGTAAACTATCAAATTCAACAATCTCCATAATCTCCCTACACTAATGGGGAATTTAGTCAATCAGAAAAAGGGAGAATAAAGCGCATACTAAATAGTAATGAAACGTGGAATGAGAAGAATAATTCCAGAAACCAATCATACTTATCAAAAGAGTACAATTTCCGTTGATTATCACAGGATTCATCAAAGTCAGACTGAGTCAGAGTTGTGGGTATCTAGAGGTAAGATTAGAATAATTAATAGTATTTGATATATTGTTTCGAAAAGATATAGTCGAATCTGTCCGAGACTCACTTTAGCGGCTACAAGTTCGCCGGCTCTTAAAGACATGACGATCGTGAACCCATGTGAAAGTAGTCCTTTGTAATTATAAGTAATAAGTAAAGCCGTGAATAATGTATAAAGTAACTATTATTTCAAAAAAAAACCACAAAAATACAGTTAAGTGCTCTAGTGATTATCACAGCCAATAAAATAAACCCATAAAATATAAACAAACTAAATTCTTCTTATCTTTAATAGTCTTTTTGGTAAAAGTACACTACGGAGACTACCTTGAACGACCCATCAATCTATTAAAAGACAGCGTTTAGTTCTGAAACAATTATAAGTAGAAAGTAATAACATTATGGTCTATAGAACGTTTTAAAATGATTAGTGGACGTATCAGAGAATACCGAAATATCCCTCGTCAAGGCCTCTAGACATCCAGAAACTTCATGAAATTTTATATCCAGTCAGCGTTGAATAGAGTCTTTGCAGAAACATTCAGAAAATGCAGAATCACGTCCCATGGTTTTGTTTGGAAATTTACCTACGCTGCTGCCATACTTAATGTGGTTCCAGAAGTCCTAGGTCTCATATGACTGTACATACCCTCATTTTTCTGTACATAAACTAACCTTAAATTAAAGTTTTATTTGCAATTCTTACCCTCTCTGTAATGTTTCAGTTAACATGGAGAATTAGTTGGAGTTATCAAAACCGGCCAAGAAGACAGTTTAGATGTATTGGTATCAAGATTTATCTGAACCCAGACATATGGAATTATAGATAATCACAAACGAAAAAGGTTAAATTTGGGAGTTGGTTAGTTTGCGAATACTTTTTAGCCGCCCAAACCACTGATGACTATGTTCTAGAATTCATGGATTGCTAGGGTCATTAATTAATTAGCATTCTGGATGCAGTCTGCACAAAGAGCCGATGGTTTTAATATAGTGGCTTACATAACACGTCACATTAGTTGGGTGTGGTTGCACTTTTAATCGTCTTAATTAAATGTCGACAATTATTATCTACCTGTTCATAAGGTACAAACTATCCGATCGTGTTTTGACTTCACGCGAGGGTCCAGGAAGCGCTGTCTAGTATCTTGTCGGTTTGGCGATATAGTGTAGTTTTACTGTTCTAGTTTTACTTTTTCTACAAGATACACCAATTTTTGTAATTACATTTATATTTATAGATCTGTGGGGAATCGTTATGTGATCACCTGAATTATTTCTTAAATTGGGGTTTAACTGCTCGACCTGAAAGAATAGATTGGCTTATATTACGTGGTGAAATAGAATTTTTCGTGAAAAATTACCGTCAAGCTTTGTCAACATATCTCGAATTTGGTAGCGTTGTCACGGACGCATTCTCAAAGAATGTTTTATCAGTCTTTTTTACAAAAGAGGTATTACGATTTTATTATTGTGACGGTTTATATATATATATATATATATATATATATATATATATATACGGTCGTATTATAACTTGTGCCCTATTAATGTATAACTTCCATTACTTCATTGTCTGAAAACACAGTTATATTGTATCTGGGTTTTTTTAGTAGTAGCTGATGTAAATACGCTAAAAATTTATATAACAGTTTTGACTGAGCACCCACAGTATATACATATTTTAGTTCTGTGCTTCTTTTTGAGTGAAATTTTCACCAGAAAGTTACCACTAATTAGTTGTTTAAATGGATTTAATAGATTCTCCTCATCCACCCTTCCCACAAATCATTCCCTTTCTATTTAGATTTTGTTGGGTAAGTGTTCTTTATTATATATGGATTTTGTTAATTTACTGCTTTTATGTATGATAACCTATAGTTAGTTGTTTGTGGAAATGGATAGACTTTGTCGTTTTTATGATGTCTTTGTTTCAATGATAATTTTTTCTACATATTCATTTACATAGTATCAGTGTGTAAGGTCCAAGTTGTAAGTCATTGTCCTTTTATTATTAAGAATACTTAATTAAAATACTCTCGTCTGATGCATACATCTACACATTACTATGTATTATCGTGGACTTTAAACCTATACATTTCATCTGTTCAGTTTTACAAATTTCGTAGATCTGTACAATATTTCTCATCTATAGTAGACTTAATTTGTTTCAGCTCATTAGCTTTGTTGATTGTTTTTTGCGAATCTATCATCATTTTTCTATTATAACAAAAGCTACTAGTGTTGAATTTATATATATTAGTTCATTTAGTCTTCGGATTGATGTTTAGGGCTGCAACTGATACGTGAACCCTGTACGGATAGCCTCGTGATTGCCGTTAAGTCACACGCATTTTGAGCTTAGAAATGGATGGTGGCTAGCAGTTGGAGCTGATGAATCACAGTCCTAAACGTCATTTGGACGATACAAACAGCCAGTATATATATGAATTAAAATTCTCATTTCACAAACCAGTGGTTATCTGAACTCAACAGCTAAGTGGATAACGCGATGTCGCTTAAAGCGAAGGGTAGTAGGTCTGAGTATCGTAGTGAACATCCAGGTACATCGAGCTGAAAAGTCCTAAATAGAACAAAATGCACATTCTAGATCCTACTGTCGTGTACTATTTATCTTTGCCTAAATACTATTAAAATTAAAACACGAATTTCCCTTCGCTGGAATTCGTGTTTTAATTTTAATGTTTAAATGGGAATTATCTGTCAATTAAAATACTATTGTCCAAATTTAATGATGAGATGATATTGCTCTCTTTAAGTTGGATGGCCTAATTCTGAAATCTCAGTTGCTAATCTAGGCTAATTTGCTATAGATGTAAACTGGTAAATGATATCACTAACTTATTCCTGAAAATGGACTAATTTATCACTAACTTTTATCCAAAGTAAGATTCTGCTTTCAATCATAAAAATTGAAATTTCGTAATTAAACCATCCAACTCAGAGGACACAACACTACTAAAACTACGAAACTTATGCATAATTCTTCATTATTCTGATGCCATTTAAGAATATAATTTTATTTTTGTGTTTTTGTTTCATGTTATTAAGTTGGTGTTTCGTATGATGTGTTGTCTTCAATATCTCGGATTATTTTATGAAAGTGTTGTTCTTTCACAATTCGGACCATCCTCTGATGAATCTCTTGTGGATAATGTCATTCAAATTATTAATAGTCTAGGTGAAAATTCTAATGGTTGGCCAATAACTCAAACAGATACTTTTAGTACTACAGTAATAAATCAACAACCATGTTCTTTTGATAACAGTACTTCTGCGGATTGTTTACGTGGATCTTGTGGAGGTTCACTTCTTCATACTACATTAGATTGTCCCGATAGTTTAGTTCCTTATTTATGGAATATTCGTTTACTATCAGCACTCGAACGTTCTGCTTCAAATCGTGGTGCCCTTTTACTGTCTACCAAATTTAAAGGTAATAATTGTTCTGTTGTTTTAATATATGACAGATTTTTGTCGAGCTGAATATTAAGAAACTGTATATGTAGAGAGTAGCATTGATTGATAAATTGTATGGAGGTATAAATGTTGAAAGAGGTTACTTAACAATCTAACAGCTAATTAGATGTTTTTAAGATAAAAAACATTTTATACAAGTGAGATAATTGTTCCTTTAATGGTTATGAAGAACAGATTAAATAAATTTTCTAGTAATGGTTAATTCACTTCTAAAGAAAAAATGAAACGATAAAGACAGTAGGTTATTGAGTATGGAAGCTAGGAGCGGTGTTTAAGCCACTGCAAAGTGGAAGATCGAAAAGGTTTCGGTACATATATTAAGCTAGAATAGATGAATTACCAAGGCCTCTGTTGTAAGTAAGTTCCTGATTTGTAATCCTTTCAAACCCCTTCTTTTGAATCTATGGGTGATTTTAAAGAAGAATTCTGGCAGGGCAATTTCGCTAGTCCTTACGAGATGCTAAACTATTAACTGTTTTTGTTGATCCTTTTTCATAATCAAGGAGGGTGATACTAGGAGATCAATTTCCAGAGTACTCGCTTTGTACTACCAATAAATCTTACCACACAAAAACAGTTAAACTTATAAATGCAGATTTATATGGATAAAGAGAAAGCTTACGTTCACATATCCACGCAACTTAAGGAGAGTTGAGAAACTGGGCGAAATAAAATGTCTTTTTAAATATAGCAAGAACAAAGATTGATGCAGAATAATATGAATTCATTTTGTTTCGTTAGGTTCTCATCAGCTGCTTACAACCTAAATTATTTGAAATTCAAATTATAACAGATATTGACATATTTATACATAAGGGTGTGATTAAGGATCAATACATGAGTATGATGATGTAGCAAATATTCATATAGAGTTAATGAGCTCATAAAAATGTTTGATTCGAATAAATAAATAAAGTTAGAGAGGGAAAGTTCTGGAACATTGAAATAGTGATTAGAACTCATGAAAATAGATTAATAGTAATAAAGAAAATATGAAATAAAACCAATCGTTTATGTATGATGTAATTTAAACTTCGGAAAGAGTTGGAATAGTGAATGACGTAATAAATAAATAAATAGGAGCAAATGAATAGAAAGGGTGGGGATTATTGTTACCAGGGTAAAGAAAGATTTATTACTGTCTCTTTTTGTATACATAGATCTGGTTTTAAACGTTTGATTGTTTGTTAATCACCTTGAAGGACTTCAGCATATCAACTTCATGTCCTGTATCAAGGAGATGTCTTGCGATAGCACTGTTGAATGCGTTCAATCCATTTAACCTTAAACTTTTCGGAATATGTTCTTTGAATCGGACGTAGGCTCTCCTTTCTGTTCTGCCAATGTAACTGCTTTCGCAGGTACATGTAAATTTGTATACACAGTTGGTGGTAACATGAAAGGAATACCTGTCGACCTTTGATTGTGTCAAAGAACACGTTGTTTTGGACAGGACAATCAATTTCGCTGCAGGATAAGTTCTCTTCAGTGCAGTTTTTAGTCTCATATTGATTGATCCTGTGATGTCATCACCTTTGAATTGAAGTTGAATAAAAATAGGCTTTTTATTTGCTGTAATTTCTTTCGGTTTTTTATCTTCACATTTGCCGTATTTTTCAATAAGTTTCAGTGGGTATCCGTTATTCTTTAAACATTTTTTAACATTCATAACTTCCTCTTCTAGTGTATCGGAAGTACAAATTCTTTCTGTTCTGTGAAACAGTGTTTTGACCAGTGCCTTTTTGTAACTGATTGGACAAAAGCTATTGAAATTAAGATAACTACCATTCTATGTGTCTTTCTTATAAACTGAACGTTGAATCGTACCATCTTTTCTTCTTTTCATCGCGATATCCAGAAAATGGAACTTGTTTTATTTTTCATGTTCCATAGTGAAACTTATTGAAAAATACGGCAAATGTGAAGATAAAAAATCGAAAGAAATTACAGCAAATAAAAAGCCTATTTTTATTCAACTTCAATTCAAAGGTGATGACATCACAGGATCAATCAATATGAGACTAAAAACTGCACTGAAGAGAACTTATCCTGCAGCGAAATTGATTGTCCTGTCCAAAACAACGTGTTCTTTGACACAATCAAAGGTCGACAGGTATTCCTTTCATGTTACCACCAACTGTGTATACAAATTTACATGTACCTGCGAAAGCAGTTACATTGGCAGAACAGAAAGGAGAGCCTACGTCCGATTCAAAGAACATATTCCGAAAAGTTTAAGGTTAAATGGATTGAACGCATTCAACAGTGCTATCGCAAGACATCTCCTTGATACAGGACATGAAGTTGATATGCTGAAGTCCTTCAAGGTGATTAACAAACAATCAAACGTTTAAAACCAGATCTATGTATACAAAAAGAGACAGTAATAAATCTTTCTTTACCCTGGTAACAATAATCCCCACCCTTTCTATTCATTTGCTCCTATTTATTTATTTATTACGTCATTCACTATTCCAACTCTTTCCGAAGTTTAAATTACATCATACATAAACGATTGGTTTTATTTCATATTTTCTTTATTACTATTAATCTATTTTCATGAGTTCTAATCACTATTTCAATGTTCCAGAACTTTCCCTCTCTAACTTTATTTATTTATTCGAATCAAACATTTTTATGAGCTCATTAACTCTATATGAATATTTGCTACATCATCATGCACACGTATTCATCCTTAATCACACTCTTATGTATAACAAATGTCAATATCTGTAATAATGTTGAATTTCAAATAATTTAGGTTGTAAGCAGCTGATGAGAACCTAACGAAATAAAATGAATTCATATTATTCTGCATCAATCTTTGTTCTTGCTCTATTTAAGATAATAAAGGGAACTGTGTGTATGTAAAATGTCTTTTTTTGGTTTTAACATTGAAAGAAAGTTTAAAGTCATTTTATAAATATTTCATTTTAATAATAAGTTTAGTGACACGTAGTTCAAGAAAGATTTTATAAGTATTTGGATTGCTTGCGAACTACTTCGAAAATACCTCTTAACATCGGCAAGTAGGTTACGCGTAAGGTACGACAAGATATTGAACTGAAAAAGAAGTCATCCTAGAGTACAGGTACGTGTAAAATTCTCAACTGAACATAGATTCATGAACTTGAGTACATACCAAAAGAGACCTTTTTGAAGTAGAAAGCGGCCATGGTTTCCTAATGGAGATCGTCTTGTTCGGTAATTTCTCATGATAAATGATTTACTGACAAATATTCCATGCTGCCATGCATTATCAAGATCTATACAAAGTTGCAAAATTGTGTACATCTTTTGGTAGATGGCATACTATCAACAGTGATTGTCAATATGTTGTCTCGGATAACGTCTCATATCTACCTTACTAAAATCACATGTTGGTGCATTTTCTACATGCTATTATTATAAAAATAAGGATTAGTCTATTCTTTTCGTGGTTAAGCATACGTCGTTCCAAGCATTTACATCAGTTTCACTCTTCTCTTTACAGCTCGAATCAATAATCCTGAACTCAATGCTAACAATCCAGATGAAATATTATTGGAAAATAGATGTGCTTTAAATCTTGAATATCTTCGTTATTTGTCCAACGTTTATTTGATTTAATCATACCACTTATGTCTGCCAATAGCAGTTGTCAATACTTTTGTACAATTCTTTATATTTTAATACTGTAATACAGTTCTATAAATATGTCGACTACATTAGTAATCTGAATAGTACAGGCGATATATCTCCTTCTTGTGGGATGATCGTTAGTCTATCGAACATTAAAGGAGGAATTTTTTATAAGTATTGTTGCATTCGAATTCCCTATGATCCCGGAATATTCTGCATAACTTCTAGGCTTATCTGTCGCTCACTAACAGAACACCAGTAAATCAAAAGATAACAACTTTGTTAAAAAAAGACGATATTATATGGGTTTGAATATACGTATGAAAATCACGCGAATGTCTGAATAGTTCCGCGGCGAGATTCCTTCACTTCGGTGTGTGCTTAATGAATTTGGTGCAATCAGGCGATCGAAAAAGGTAGAAGTCTGCTGTCGTGCAGAAAACCCCAAGTTATCAGTAAGGTAAAATATAAGACGAGCTAACTGTCAAAGAGAAGTGTGTAGAATTATGGTCTTGTTTGGTATTATTTCATTTATTCTTGGTACTATGATGGTAGACAGTGTCGTATACCGATGAGAATAACAAATGGTAACTGTTGGGATCTGTTTGTGGACTAATACTATACATATCTTTTTATTGTATAATTGTTAAGTAACTAACCCATATATATATATATATATATATTCATACTCCTCTCGTAATAGGCTTTATTTTGACCTACAGAATATTATTATACAATTTACCATTCCTAAGTTATGCCCAGTCTATCAATTGTAGTCTCCCACATTTACAGTCACTTTTGGCTAAAACTTGTACAAATGTTATTTTCTACTTTATGGTGTGATGTGGTCTGTTTGGTTTTTATGTAAACCTAGTACGTTTGAAATATATGATTCATATCGCGGAGGCTGAGATTTATGTTCTGGAATCAACAGGCAGGAAGAAGGACTCTAGACGACTCGTACGGTTTTGTGTGTCATTGGTTCGGTCGATAAGTCACTGTTCTCGAATTGGCGGTATCATTACGTTATATATTAATAAGGCACAAGGCCTCCGGTTATAACAGACTTAATCCTAAAAGTAGATTTGTCATAATATGACCACCTAATCTTTAAGGTTTTACTTGGTAGTCACATCACAGTCTACTCTGACTGGTCCCATTGCCATAATCATCAATATAACCTCTAGGATTTCTGAACAGTACATTTGGTCTGGGGAGAGAGTAATTGGTTTTGTAGGAAAGCGAGAGGTTACACGTAGTTACCACGATTTCATGGCCCTTCTATTCTGTAACGGTTAATATTTTTCGCGTTCACCAATTTTGAGTGTCTCAGCAGTTATATGTTCAGCCTCAAAGATAGCGTGGTAAGAAGCCAATATCACTACGTGTCATCACGATACAGGTAACTCGTTATCACGAGGACGCTTATGTCCTACAACCGACCAATACGTTTAGACGAGCTTAAGCAACCAATAAGCAGGAAGGGTTCTGAGCTATACACAGCTAGTTTTTTCAAGATCCAGAACATTATATGAAAAGCTTAGATAAGCATTAGTTGGCATAAATGAGGTCAGTGCGAAGGATATATGTTGAAATTTAACCATATAAAACACGTTAATGAGGGAGCAGTATATTAAGTTGTGATATTCTTATATTTAGTAGTTGGCTAGCAAGTAAATGAGAGACACCTAGGTACATGCAGATAATTAAGGTCAGCATAAGGATTCTGCTTCAAACCGTATCTTTCCGAAGTCGCCCATTTCTTTTCCAATCCTCTTTTGAAAGTTTCTGGAAAAGCTTTAATAAGAACCATCCAAGCTGTTTTGAATATTATGGATACTATAAGGATGGGAGGTGTCGTTATCATAAATGTCTGGTAGGAGCATCCAGAAAACAGTAGTTTGGACAACGGATTCACAACAACACATAAATTAATGTAAAATTGCTGCGTCAATAACGAGTGGGTTGACTCCGCGTACGGTTACTCCCGGATATAACCATAACGCTCAACTGAGTGCCTTCACATAGTGGTGTCCGTGAAAATTAACTAGGTCTGGATTGATATTGTGTAACTAAGTGCTAAAACGGCCAAAAATCTCACCGTTAATCAAGGCTGCTTGAATGAGCTTCTTTTCGATATTTATGCGTCATGAATAAAGCATCTAATCTTGAATAAAATCAAGAATATAGAAACGGGAGTTAAAAAATAGCCGATTGAGAGACCAGTCTAAAATGTCGGGCTTCTAGTTGCAAGTAGTCGTCATGATCAATAGTCAGGAGTCTTGAGTCAGTTTATGATCAGCAAGTAGAGTGGGAGTTATGCCTCCCACTATTCCGAGAAAATATCCGACAGATAGATATATCGACTGAAAGAGCTGCAGAGAGATTGCAAAATGTAAATTATGTCAACTGACTATTTACTTTTTGTTGTACGGAAGTGTCAATACTTCATGTCACCTCTCATAACAACCAGTGCAGCCTCATAGTCAAGACACGCAAAAAGAGTTGCAAAAACAACAACTCTTCTCAGTGTTCTTTCAATGCATCTATTGCTTCTGGTGTCACATGTATTACTTTAGCTCAATTTTTTTAGCATACCTGTTAATGGTTGTGGGTGATTGAAATAAACTCACCATATAAATTCATCAGCTTAATATGATAAAGGATACTCTAGTTTCTTATAGATTGATAACACGGTTAGTGTGACATCATAAGATTTCTGGCACTACCTAGGAATCTGGAGATTTCTTACCATAATAACACTTCAGGGCATGTAATAACACTGGTGATGGCATACTGAAACTCAGCACCATCATAACGTCAACGGTAATAGACTCCCTCAGCAGGTTTGGGTCTCCCAGCACATGGTCTCCAAATGCAACGGTCATTTCCAAAAGCTCTGTAGGTGATTGGACCCCCGGTAACAAAGTTAAAAAGGGCCAGGCTTCACCGTCTAAGATGTCGAACGTCCCAAGAATTGTAGGGAAATCAACTGGTGATTTGGCCGCACAGTCTAGCCTCAAGAATGTCCGTTCGATCATCGAAGAGTTTATGAATCGGAAATGCGCTTCGACCTCCAAATAACAAGGTCTCGAACCTGAACGCACCGGAAAACCTTGGAAAACATTAACGGTTCGTGACGATTCTCTTCTAATCATGAACATCAAAGATAGCCCTGATATTCCTTTCAGTTTGCAGGACAAAATGACAGGATGCTCTGAAGAGAGTTAAACAAGAAGCTTGAACTACCCAGAATAGAGCCTTTGGTGGTCATACGGCTCACTTGGGGAAAGGACTCTAAGCTACTCTAGGCTACTTCGTGTAACACTCACTAATGCTTCCGACGTAGAGGATATCCTACTAGCTAGTAACCTACTGAAATCTGATGGCAACGTTAAAATGCTGTCTGACATACCGTATTCTAAGCGCAATCTCATCCGGAAAATCCCTAAGGAATCTCGCGAGTTTTTCCGCTGGAGAAATATCATTGTGCAAGTGTACCAGAAAACACGGACCCTAGTCACACAAACTGTGATATCAGGGGATGGAAATTCATCAAGTAATTTTTGAAGCCTCAAAACATACTGACTCAACAAGAGATGAGACTAGTCAAGAAGGACGGGGATTCCAGGTCGCGGCTGATGAAGATAACTTTCCCATCCTCCAATATGGCGGCTGCAACTCTGGAAGCATTTTGTGCCAACAGGCTTCGGTTGACAACTGGAATCCATATGCATCCGGATTTGCCACACGACGTCAGGATCAAGCACATAGGCAAGTTGAAGCTGGCCATCCAACTTGAGGACTGTCTTGATCATAAAGAACGTGTAAAGGAAAGAGACTATCAACTCTGAAGACCTTGTATAGGTAGACTAACTGTTCATTCACATAAGAATCATACAGACAAACAGGAAGGAGAAGCTCACACGTTTCAAATTGGAAGCATAAACTGCTTATACATGGACGCCACAAGTTAACCAAATAAAGTGGATGAGCTACGTGGCCTTAGCAATGCTAATAATGCTCATCTGACAGGAATATCTGAAATTCGGATATCTCAGTTTGCGGACTAGGAGCTAGCAATACCCGGAATATCTTTGTTTCACAATGACAAAAAACACAAGAATCGGGGGCGGAGTAGCCTTATACTTACAACCCTGCCTGGAGGCCCATCAAGTGCACAGCAAACCCTATGATGCTCAGTCAGATTGTCTACCACCTCGAATTGTCTAGTTGGGGCCGTTTAAAAGAAGCCCACTACTGACATCTAGTACGACATTCGTATGCTGGAAGGATTATCCTGCTCTACTCGTCTCGGATTCACTCATATCCCGATTCTAGGGAACTTCAGTCTTCTTAAAGTCAGTTTCGCGGAAAATACGTATAGTGGGTGTGAAAACTCCACTGAAGCTTGGTTTTTCAGCTTCATTGAGAATTCGGGATTATTCGAAAGTGTGAAGTCGGCAACTCGTTGGAGAAACAGTTAAACGCCGTCGCGCTTAGACTGGGTGTTTACAAGCGAAGAATTTCACATTGACAACCTCTCGATCCTGGCTCCTGTGGGGAGAAGCGATCACGCCGTCATGGACTTCAATTTTTTTCAGCAAAAGTGAGTTAAGACATCTTGCCGATAACAGGCTCTGGAAGTTCAAATGGTTGTACGTGTCAGCTATACAGGACAATGAACAGCTGGTGAACTGCGAAGTTTACCATCAACTTGATGTGGATGCTCATTGGGATTTCTTACTGCACACGATCTTATGTGCTACAAAGCAGTCAGTTCCGTGATCGGCCCCCAAAAGCTACAAGCATCCTACAATCATGAAGAACCGAACTCCTAGTTTGTTAAGCCGCAAAGGATACTGCTGGGCGGAATACAAACGAACTGTTAACAACGGCGCATACAAACAATTAAGGTGCATATGCACAAAGGCAATAAGATGAGACAGGCTCCGGTATCAGATAAAGCTTATCGATAAATTTGTCTCCAATCCGAAAGGCTTATTTCTTCGCGCAACCTCTCTTCGACAAGCAAAGACTTCAGTTTTACGACTGCTAGGTTATAAGGGCCCGAATAACAACGACAGTGATGCCGCTAAGTTTCTGGCTGAACAATACTCTGAGATATTTCAACCGACCCACACTCACTATATTGATGAAAGTTTTATCTACAAATCCACAGGGATTTTCGAAATGAACCTGAGCGCTGACTTGGTGTACCGGAAACTGCAGCACATAAAAAACACTTCTCCTGGTTAGGATATAGTTCATTCTGCTATACTGAGGGAAGTAACTTCAATTCTGGCAACACCGCCTAATGTGATGTTCTCACACTCGCTAAGCCGAAGCAAGCTACCGGAAATTTGGAAGCAGGATCACATAACACCAATTTTCAAACGAGGTCGATGCAGCGTACCCTCAAGCTACCGACCGGTGGCTTTTCTCTCTATACCTCCAAAATTATGAAGTCCCTGATATGCGACTGTATACACGATTATTTTTTATCCGAAAACATCTTTTTACACTAACAGTATGGTTTCTGGAGAGGTTATTACCTACTGACTGCGGTGGACAGATAGACAACCATCACTGATCACAAGGGAAGGTTGACGTCATTTGCTTCGACTTCTCAAAAGCTTTTGACAGGGTCAGCCATATATGTCTAATCAATAAGCTTAAACGATTGGGTATCAAATCACCACTAATTGACTAGTTCACTTCATATTCAAAAATTCGACATTTTAAGGTCAAGGTTAACGTCACATGCTCTTTCAGGCTATGGAATGTCTTAGTGGGTTCGGCCAGGGTCCATTACTAGGACCTCTTCTTTTCTTGAATTATATACACGATCTTCCACAACAGGCATCGTCTGACTTATTACTTTTATGCTGATGCCGTGCAACTTTGGAGGGAGAGATATACAACCGAAAGGATATACTGGCACTTCAGAAGGTTCTGACTTGACTTCAAAGTTGGGCAGATGACAACCGACTTACCCTTAACACTTCAAAGTGTAAAGTAGTCCATCTGAGACGTATTGTAGAATACAGTTACAACTTGGGAAACTTCTCTCTAGAAACATCCTAAGTTGAAAAGTTTTAGAAGTACTGGTACCCTACGATTTGAAGTCTTACGCTGTGACAAAAATGCCTTACGAGCAAACCGTACACTGCTAAGATTGAAGCGCGTTTTGGCCAGTTTGACGGAAGAACTTTCCACATAATCTTCAACAGCATCATTCGTCCCCATTTAGAATATAGAAATACAGTATTTCCTCCCTTACTCCGAAAGGATAAAGACACTCTAGAGCGTTTCCAACAGCGAGCCACAAAATCAGTATGGGTACTCGAATTCAAGCCTTATGAGGAGCGCCTCCAATCACTAAAGCTTTACTCATTAGAGTATAGGCGTCTTAGAGGTGACCCTCTAATGGCTTGTAGTATCCTTAAGGCTCCTGGACATCCCCTTAAACACCTACTTAAGTTTAGCTTCAACACATAACTAAGGGGTAACGCCCAGAATTCAGAAACACAACACAGCAGAACGGACTGTAGATACAACATTTACCTCTTAAGGGTTTTCAAATGCTGGAATTCGCTACCGACTGAGGTAGTCCAAAGTTTTTCTAGGAGTCCTTTAAGAACTAGGAATAATATCTTACTATGATTTACCAATTTGTTTTTCCTCTATTATCAATAATATACCTAGGTTCCTGACTCCAGGTATTGGTGATCCACTATTACTAGACACGGAAGCCCGTTAAGCGAAAGCTTCTTCTGTTCCATCTACAACCAATTGAACCACTTAAACTCTAACTCAAGATAGATTATTCAAAGACTGTTTGTTTATTGATAAATAAACAACTTTAGCGATTAAAACGCCGACCGACCTCGTAAACTTTAAAAAATGAAATTTATTGTGACTAACCTGAAAAGCGCGTTCTATGAAGATGTTGTCACAGCGTCAGCTGTTTTCCGTGCATACATTCATCGTTGATGTGTTTTGTGTTGCATGACCTTATATTACATTTGTCCTGAAAATATCTTGCGGAAATAAATAATTTTGAGTGTCAAGAAAAACATGTCTGGTTTCGTGAAAATGTGTGAACTTTGTGGTGGTCAAATTAGTGAACAGTCAGAATTTTCCTTCGAGGACATGATCACTAACTGGTTAGATGAAAATCCTGAATTTGCTTTCAAGTACTTTGTCAAATCAGCATCTCCAAGCATGGTTGAAGCCTGGGCTAATGGACGAAATCATAGTGAATCTGATGGCCTCTTTGATAACTCAATAAATGTCATGGACGAGCATAGTGATAAAAATGATGATAAAATTTCTGTTACTACTTCTCTATCACTACCAATACGTAAGATAAGCAGCCAGGATTTGGAATTAACCCATGACAAGCGTATTTTATCTTCTAACGAAGATGGAAAGCCCACATTTATAAACTCTGTGTTCTTTCCTTCCCCTACCACTGAACACATCGATTTAAATTCTAGTCTTGCTCGTCAAACTGTGCCTTCACCAAGTCGATCAACACATCCAACTGAGAGAGATTTGATGAGTGAACTTGCTTTGGACATTTGTCATGAACTTGACGTGACATCTTTATGCTTTAAAATTGTCCAGAATGTTTGTAGACTAATCAACGCTGATCGCGGATCATTTTTTCTTGTGGAAAAGTCACGTTCAACCGGTGAGGATGTTCTTGTTAGTAAACTTTTTGACATTACATCTGAGTGTATATTGGACGATGTTTTACAACGATGTTCCTCTAATCACATCATTGTTCCTTTTAATGTTGGTGTAACTGGCTACGTCGCACGAACTGGAGATTACGCAAATATTCCGGACGCATACGCTGTAAGCAATTTCGGTAACGTGTTTAGTTATATTTGTGAAGGGTGTCAACTACCTAGTTGGTTGATAAGTTATCTGAAATAAAAACATAATTAATTCCTTCAATAAGTATTTGGACATGAATCACACTTTAGTTGCATAGGCTAATTATGTTACTCAGTTGTCTGGTAGGAAATCGACGACTCTGAGCTCGAACGTGGAACCAAATGGCCTAAAATCAAACCATTTAACCACTGAGCCACTGCTTCAGACTATCGGTCTGAGTATTAATTAAAGACCTGTGTCGCCTTTTTTTATTTAATTGCAAGTATGTTTGTTGTCATCCTAAACTGTAGTTTATAGTGAATTTATTGCCACTGAGCAAATTACATTGCCCAGTAGTATCACAAGAAGCCTTTTAACCGCATTATTCATCTTCACCTTCTGATTGATGACAACTTAAAATTTAAATTGTAAGCAGCGAATGTGATCGTTTCACCCGCTAGATCAAGGAGTTTCGGTGTTAGATAGTATGGTACATATAGTTTGAATTTCAAGAATTTCTTTAAGTTTGCGTTAATGATCTAATTATTTTGTTACTGCTATTCGTTTTCATCATCCATATTTGAAGTGAAATGATAGTTCGACTAAAATCAAAAGCACCAAATTTCAGGCCAGATATATGTTAGCACTAACTATATAAGGCTTTCTACTGACATTTTAAAGACCTTAATTATCTTTTGATATTTATAATCCAGTAGAATGATATTCATACGTTGATATCAGCAATTTGAAGATTAACTTATTTTTTGCGACCCCATATCGAAGTCTAGGACTGTAAACTTAGCTCCGAGCAATATGTTTTCCGTGGGGGGTTAATAATACTATTGGACTACTCTGTTCCTAAGACACCAATCCTACAACCCTTAGGAGATAGCTCAAGACCATTGACGGTGGCACAAGAGTGCGTAATATTTATCTTTCCAAGACCTAATTTTTTAAATATTACTTTACTTTTCTGATTAGTCCGTTTAATTTATTTCACCAAACTCCTCATTTTTGATCTTCATCATCGATTATATCATTTTTAATTTCTTATCCGTCTTTTTAACTCATTCTCTCATTGAACTAATATGAAATGTGACAATTCGGGTCGATTCACGTTTGTTCGAAGTTCTCTGTTATTTATGATTAGTTGAATAATTCTATACTATTTTTTGTCAGTCTGTCAGTTACGTTCAAATTCGCAAAGGTTTAAAAGGAAGAAAACTAGTTTTGTGACTCTTTGTCGATCACTCACCACCTTCAATATTTGTTCGACTCGGTAAGCATGTTTGTTCGTTGGATGGTAGTAATTAGATTTAGAAGATTTTCCTATTTTTATTGTTAGGGTTTGCATTTTATTTCGATAAAGGTGTTAACTACTAATATTTTTCCAAACCTTTTGGCAGGATCCTCGATTTGATGATTCCGTAGATCGTGTAACGGGATATAAAACGCGCTGCCTTTTATGCATGCCTATAAAAAATGTTGACGGAAAAGTGTTAGGTGTTGCACTGGTTATCAATAAGACAGTTCCTTCTGATCAGCATCATGATCGAGGTATCAACTCAGTTCAACCTAGTAGTTGTGAGAGTGAATCAATCAGGAAACATGCATCATTCACCGAAGAAGATGTAAAAATATTTCAGTCATATGTTACTTTCTGTGGTATTGGATTACACAATGCACAGATTTATGAACAGAGTCGTTTAGAAACTTATCGGAACCAAGTAAGTACTATCCGTTCTTTTATAACTTTACTTTGTATAACTCATTCTTAAATTTTGCAAGATTGGTTTTAGTACAAGCTATAATTTGCCAACGATACAACAAAGTTGGGGAACAGTATCCTAAACGTTTTTTTCCATTGGAAGAAAATTCATGATACATTTCTTTGATAAAAGGCAAAATGTGTAGTGGTAATGGGCAGAAATGTGAGCATCTGCTATTGATAATGGGTTCGGAATGTAGATCATTCAGCTACCCATAATTATCTGGCTTTCAATTGTCGTTTGAACCTTCTCGATTAATAGTAAAACTATTTTCGGCGTGTTAAATATGATAAAAATAGGTTTGGTGTATAAGTTGATGTTTTTACTTAGTTCCATCCATACTTAAAGAGGTAATTAATTCTCATTCTTTCAATCGATATGGATTTACTAACCATTAAAGTTCTTAATGGTTGTGCTTTTATTTTTCCTAGTTCAGGGTTCCTCGAAGTTGTGGACTATTGATTTGCTTTAGTATTAATAGTAATTTTATCATTCGGCAGTTTATGAGCTATGACCTGTTTCTAAAATTCTTGTATGCTTGTAAAATACATAGGTTTAATGCAAGATCTTGTCTTCCCAGTTTTTATTAGACTTATTAAATGGTGAAACTATTCCAAATTAATCGTTTCTATTAAACATTAGTTAAATCATTTAAATTTTTTTGTCGTGAAAGTCTTATTTCAGAGGAGATTTCAAAATTATTGCATTTGTCTTCCTATTAATTAAGAAATTAAGTATAGGAAGCTGAGAAAACAAAAATAATATGTATTTATTCGTTAGCATCTCGAAATGTAGTTAATGTTCACATTGACATCAACCCAGTTATCTATCATCATATCAATATGCAATTCTATGTGGATAATTCAACTTAATACTCATGGTATTCATCAGTTCTACTTAATTTCATTGAGATGATATTTTACTATAGTCATTTATAAACTAGTGTTTTTAATTGAGAAGTGACATTTATCAAAGGTTATCAAGACTGGAAAGTATTTTGCTCTAGGCAAAAACTCTTCAGGACTGTTTGCTGTCCAGTTATTGTTATTATTCAACAACAAGTTCCTAGATTTGATGATGACGTATGCTGGCGTACAATTAAACTTAAGTTATTTAATATAAAGGATATAATAATTTACATTATTAAATTTTCTAATTCCATTGAAAAAAGGCATTCGACCAAAGTAATCAAGCGATAGCTTACAGACAGTGAGAAGAATGGAATAAAATTCTGTACTCATATACGAATCGTTCAACAGATTAAAACTCCCAGGTTCTGTAATATGCGAACTAAATTAGTTACCTAACATCTATAAGTCACATCGTTCAATTGCAAAATAAATAATTCATAGCATTTTAATCAATAATGTATCACATTAAAACAATTCTCATACGCAACTTTTCATATATCACTATTAGCTTGTTATGCTAAATTTAGTAAGCTGTTCAATTGTTCAATGCTCTTTTTTGTCTAAAAACGTATTGTCGTTTAACGGAAAATGTTGTCATTTAAAACATAGTTATTAAGCGTTTCATTGTCGAAATTCGTAATAAGTAATCATAATATATTGTTCTTCTATACATCAAGTTTTGAAAAATCAACTCATAACCACTGAGTTATATTGTCATTATAGGCGAATGTTATCTTACAATAAATTTCTGTATTTGTTTAATGTAATTCCAATTAAATACCTTCATTAAGCATAATGTATACAGATCTATGTTAGTTATTTCTTTCATAAGATCAAAATCAAACCTATCGACAGAACTGTTTATTTCACGTAATGTTAAAGTCAGTTATGGGGAATTACCTACACTTTAATATTCGACACTTATTATTTCGGTCAGTGTATTGTGTAAATTTAACGAAGTTGTAATTTTCTTGTCTATAAATAGCTTGTATGAAAAAATGTATACACATTCTCTCTCTCTCTCTCTCTATATATATATATATATATATATATATATATATATATACCCTGATGTTGGTGTTACAAACACTTAAGAAACAATGATTGACTTCATATTATTACGATTTATTAACGAGATTTATTTAATCACTTGTTCAAATAACTAACTAGTTTTGTTTATATGATTATTGAATTATTGAATTAACAGATTTTTATTGAATGAAATTGTTGCTTTATAGGAAATGTAAATTGTCAGTTAATTTTAACAGTAGTATAACGTATAATAGTTCATATTATTCGACATTTTGACTAATTTTACCACACATTCAACCCTTCATATTATGTAATTTGATTTTGACAGTTAGTGGTTTTTATATACAATAATTATAGTTTAAAGCTAAGCATATAAGCCTTTCAGTCAACTGCTGATTAGTGTATAAAGTGTTTAATAACGTTTTGATTTAACTCTGCAATGTGTTAAGAATATGTAGTGTAAAGCACTAACTAATCAGTGGTTAGAAACATTGACTTTTTGGCTAATAAGTTACAGGTTTGAACTCTTCTCCATGTATTTATCTCTGAGCAGCCAGGTGGCATCAGTATGACACCATTACAAACGGCACATTTCCAAACCCGATACATAAACCTGTACATGGTATATGACTTATATTTAAAAGGATTTTGCTTATCTATTTCACAGTGCTGATCAAATCCTATCTATTAAATCACACCACAGCTACTATTTTAAGTAACTAAACATTGTGTAGAGTCTATTTCTATGTCAGATGATTAGCTCATTGCATCCTATTAAAAATTCAGTATTCCTTTTTATGTGTTATTAGTTAATGTTACTCTCCCAAGTATTATTTTTGTTATCATTATTATGCCTGTCTCTTTATTCTAGGTGCTTTTGGAACTTGCACGAATTATATTTTCAGAACAACTTGATATAACTCGTCTTATTTATTCAGTATTATCACACACAATTTGTTTACTACAATGTCAACGTTGTCAGTTACTTTTGGTGAAAACAACTTCATCTATGTCATCCTATTCTTCAATTGATGAGGTAAGTAATTAGTAGATGGAGACTTTTAAAAAAAATTATTCTGATATATTCATTATGATATTTGTGATGATGAGATTGACTTTATAAACAAACAAATAAGTGTTTGAAATCTAATTAAGCTGAGTATTAGGCTCCTTATCAAGTTATATATTTACTTCTATAAATTTCTGTAAATTTATAAGCTCGTTTTATCGTGAAGATTAATTGAGAAACACGAAAATATTATTGATCTGACTAATTGTTGTTTAAGACTCGTCAGCAGATCTGTTATTTGTTGTAATTAAACTAAGTAGGTGAAAAAAAGTGAGTGATCATAGTTTATTGTGTGGAAATTAATAAGGAAGTGTTTAATTCTATCTCTTTATATATTCTAATCCACATATTTGATAAGTGCTATTGAGAGTACATAGCTGACGAAACTCAAGTAAACTGACGAGATTTGGAATTTAAACAACCTAGTCACCTCTCCAATATATATAATCTAATTTAACTTTGGATTGGTCTGTATCGTTATTTAGTTTATTTAAGGTGGTAAGAAATAGCCATCATTTCTTTAACCCCGATATTTTGATTGGTTGTGATGTATTGGTCACCGATGGATTCATGACATGGATATACAGAAAAAGTTTTAGGATGTAGTGTTTACTGGTCTGCCAACAAACAAGGTAACTGCTCAGTGTCCCATCATACTCTACAATTATAATACGTAACTTTTCAATAAAAAAACGAATGGCTTGGATTTGTTTAATTAATGAAACGTTTGCTCCAAACTTGTCAAACAAATAGTCTCGAAGTCAACTCAGATTGTTTAAACTCACGTATTTGTTGATCATACTGAACTATACTGATGAATCAATGACATTTAAGATAGAGCCTTTTGAGTTTATATGCAAAATTCGAAAACCAGTAATGAATAGCTAGTATCCTATTAGCGACCAGGTAAAAATTCCGTCTATATGATTCCTATAATGGTTAGAATCGATAAAATATATCTTTTTGGCAACCACACAGTGATTGAACTGATACAAAGGCTAACTTATAAATCTGCTTCTCTGACAGATTTTATCTGAGAGTATTTTATAAAGTTCAGTGCATAGTCGAGGGTGTCTTCGTGGACAAAATTTGTTTACTCCCAACCTTAGCTCATAACTGTAGCCCAATGAATACCTAACCATAGACCCTTTTTCGTTCACCTTATTAAATAACTCTATATACAAGCGTTTATTGATCACACGAAAACCGTTCATTAATTGAAACGTATTGCTTTTTATTATAAATCGTTATATAACTAAACACTTTCTAATTGACTGGTAGGTCTCTTAAGGTTGTCAGTATAGTATACTTTTAGTATTGATCAGTTGGCGAAATTATGAATCATGATAATAACTGTAAATCATTTTGAGTCAAAATTTTCAAGTAGTGCGATGTTCTTAAATATATCAAACCTAATTAATATGTTCACATCTCAAACTGACCTTAGTTACGAAGTTCGTGAAAACCAGGAGTGATTAAACAGCTGTTTGGTCGTAGTATGAGACACCTTCACAACAGCCTCATTCATGACCTCATCCTATATCGAATTTACGATATTCAGGTTATTGAGCGCTAAACCTTTAGATTACTGAGTTGGCATTTACTGTTTCGTGTTTATAATTTCTATTAGTTTACAACATTGAATAACCTACCGAGAAGGTCTTGGACTTCATAGCTGGCGGTTTGTGGATGTGCATCTTCTAAGAGTCCTGTACTAAAAAGAAATAGCCACCCAAAGCCTCTTGATTTCCAATAATTACCTAACTAAGGTCACTTTGTTTTGTAAACTGTGAAACTCAACAATCCCTAAAAACGCCTTTGCACTAATACTAACTAGTATTGTCTTTTTTTACAAGAAAAAATACCCATTTTCTATCACATTTCATCTCGTTTCTTTCGTTATCTTTTTTCAGAAAAATAATTAGTTACCTTTTGTTATATTATTTAACAAATAGATCGATACATCATTCTTTGATATCGTCTTAATGCATTCGATTCTAAGTTGACCTAATTATTTATATCATTAAAAAAAAGTAGAGAATGAATACTTGCACTTCAAAAATTAAACAAAAGGATGATAGAATAGATAGATAATGACTAGCATTGGAATGCAAGACTCGTGTTTTGTCCTATTTACGACTCGTCATCTGGATGTATTTACCACATCCTGGCGTTGATATTCACACCGAGACTCAAACTTAGTACCTCTCCAGTAGATTGAGTTGCTATTGTTTCGAACCAGATAGACCCTAGCTTGTGCAATCGGTATGATTTAAACCTTGCCAACAGTGATATAATAAATTAGTTTTAACAACCTAATTTCCATTCTTCAGTCTTTATAAGTGCATAACTTTGATGAATAAAACTGAAGCAGGAAAATGTTAAAAATCAGATTATCTTTCAAATATGAAAAAAACAAGTTTTCAACAAAGGATCTTTTGTTATAAGATAATGAGGTTTAATTCATTGTTTATTGGTTGTTTGAATAAATATTAAACTTCACCCCATCGCACAAGCTAATGCTATATGGACTCAGTAGCTTATTAGATGGTATGATTGCGTTTGAAGCAAGCTGTACTGAGTTCAAGTTTCGGAGTGAAAATCGATTCTAGGATGCAGGTATATCCAGCTGACAAGTCCCAAATAGGATGAAACGCTTGTTCTGAATTCTACTACTGACCACCATCCATCTCTGCTTATAACGACAAGTTGTTAATTTATGATTCGTTGTTGCTTAGCGATCGCAATGATATCATTTTTTTATTTATCTAGATTATATATAATTAGAAGGCTATTATTCTTACATATATATTTGAATATCTTAGCAACATATCGTTTCATTAAACACATCTTATTCACAATTAACAAGAATAGTTGTTCTCATTTTTAAAATAGGGTAAAAACAAACAGTATTTCATTTAAAGAATTTCAGAATTATTTAATTCAATGTTTAAAATAAGCTAATCACTTACTGTAATAAATGATAAGACAGTAGTAATAATACTACTAATAGTAGTAAGTGTTTGTAGATAAATGAGTGGAAGTAATGAATGAATTAGTAAGTAATTGAAATTCTTTTCTTTTTAATAATTTCAACAAAGTCCTCTCATAGTGTGATAATTAAATTGATCGTTTCTTTGTTTTTTTGCATACTATTACAGATCAAACGATATGCGGATTGTGTTTCGATACAAAAGGTTTTTTTTTCAAAATCTGTCTTATGTTTTAATATTTTCAAGAGTTTTAGTATTGTTGTTCAGTCTGATTGTCAATACCACACTAAAATGAGTTTAAATTAAAGTTGAATTAATCAACTGAATTCTCGTGAAATGTTCAATCTATTTGAATAATAACTGCTTAGTATAAATGGTAATTTTATGTTGTATCTGTCCTACATCTACACTGTAAATGAAATCTAGGTTCAACTGGATAACTTCATAGTACAATGTCTACTTCAAATATTTTGCGGTTGCTTAAATACTGCAATTACAAATGCTTGGTGACTAGTTATAGAGTAGAGTTGTCTAGTTGGCTAATCAACATTTGTCAGTCTTCGTGGCACTACTTACTTTCAGTGTTAGAGTTATCTTAAATATTTTACGTTGGGCGGTTTGCGTTTATGTCTGGTGAAGGATGTAAACTAATTGAAAATAAAGTGATCTATTAATACACTTATAACATATTAATCAATACCCCATAAATTTACAAAATTTTCTGACAGGCCATAGAAATCGGTTGAAAACAAAAAAATAGAATCATTTACTTGCTACCTACCAATGCAGTTTGAGTGCTTTTCTTGTAGTCTGGGAAATCACACAACTCTTAAACTTAATTTTTTTCTCGATGTTGTTCAAAATACATGTCAGTAATCATAGCGATGTGTTATCTTTTTCATATTTATGTAAACAGTAAGACAAGCAGAGCCAAATAAAAAACAAGGTAAACAGAACTGTATTGTAATTAATTGATCATTTAATTGTGACCAATATAATGTATGTCTAGTCCTTTAATTCTAATCGAGTTCTATTGATCGAGTTGAAGTGTAGCTACCAGTTCAAACGATTCAACACTGAGTGCACTATGCTGAGACGTTAATTGGTCGGAAGTTGTCAGATGGAAACTTTGGACCTAGGTTTCGTGCTAGCTGACACTCATCAGTAAAGTGCACCTGGAAACTTAGAGGGACTAGTTCTCCCTGTGAAATTCCATATAAGTTGTGAGGTCAATATTACCATCTCAGACTGTGAAGCTAGGTGATGTGGGCTGAAGTCCCATCGGTAGCACCTGTTTCCGGGAGGTTTCTATTATGCCTTTATGATGAGTGCCATGCTGCAAGATACCAAGATTTAGGGTTTCCTGCTGACTACTACCAACCACTGTACAAATACAATTATTTATTATTTAAATGTATCCTTGTATGGTCATTTTCCTTTTCATCCACCTAGTTGTCATGCGTTTTTCAACAGTTGTTTAACGAAGATTACTTCATGATCTAAGCCATGAAATTTCTTCTATTTTACTCGATGTAATAAATGATATTATTGTAAATATTACTGTCTAACCAATAACATATCAATGTTTTTCTCTCTTTAGTGAGTCACAAAATCATATTATTATCGTTAGTGTATTTGATTTTTACCTTATTGTCACAGTGAATGAGCAGTTAATGGGACAATTATTATAGTCGCGAATGTGCACTGCCGAGCAGCCCTATAATATGACGAAACCACTATCAAGTCCTTCCACCTTTTCAATGATGATCTAACTAAGATCAGTTCATGACATAAAATCTGTAAATACTAAAGTATTTTATTTATGGAATTACAGTATTGATTTGATGTAATCATTGTGTATGCTTGTCAGCTAGAGACAACTTAAATCAGTTCAGCTTAAAAAATTTATGCCTAATCTCAAAGCTAATAACTTTCTAGTTTTACCATAAACGAACAATACTCATATGATTAAACAACCTACTCATATCTTCTACTTTCATAAGCCATACTCATAGTCATAGAGTGTATGTTTTTTCTCACCTTTTACCAGGTACACAGATATTTTATCCAACTTACTTGAGTTAATCAATCTTAATTAAAATTCGACATAACCAAAAATTAACTCTCTAGTAAACCATTTTTCTACTTAGTACTTTAGTATAGAAATAGTGCTTATTTTGAATTGTCAGCGATTATTTGTCAACATAGTGTGGTGCATGTAAGAATAAATTTTGTTTGAATTTGAAGTATATTTATTGTAGTCTCTTGTTATTGTAAAGATGTTCAAGTAGAATTTATCATTCAATAATTATTCATCCAATTATGTTAGACTAAGTAAACTCAATAGCGGATTTAACTTCGTATTATATAAAGATTGTTCTGTTGAATTTATTTATTGTAGTGATCGATTGATGTGACCTGATTAAATTTATTTATATGCGTATATTTTAATTGAGCAAAGTTATAGGCTGATGAAAGCGTTTACAATAAATTATTTCAAGTAATCACGTGTGTGTGTTTGTGTTCATAATTTTATTAAGTGTTATTAACTTAAGTAACCTATTGTGTTAAGAACGAAGACCTTTCAATAGTGTATGAAATCGAGAAATTGATGTCTATTCAATTAGTTATATACGAATTACAGATATGTCTTGCTGACAACTACCAGGTGGCACGAAACTAAGGTCCAATGATCCTCGCCGTTAACCTCCAACCACTCAACATTAGGTTAAGTACATGTGACATTGAGTCATATTATAGTTTTTTTTAAACACATATACTTTGGTTCAAAGGGGTACCAATATATGTATGTGTGGGCTGAAATACTGTCAGGTGGTCTTGTTATTAGGCCACTTCTCGGACTTTTGATTTAGAGGTCTAATCTACAAGACAGTGAAGCAACGTTAAGAGATGTGATCCCATGGTAGCCGGTAACCAAACAATAGGTCCATACGCCATTTGCTCCCTCAGGATCCTGGAACATATGTGCACTATTAGTTTATAATCAGTTTTTTCAAATTCCTCTCAGTGGACTCTCCATACTCACCAACCCGGTTGAAGCTCCAGATGTTCACTTTTAGTTCTTTCAATTTTGTAAAGAACACCCCTGTTGAGAAAAAGCAATGAGTAAGAATTTCCTGATAGTTGGTTTACACATAACTATACCAGAGAGTATTTGGAAGGTGAGCGAACTCTCTTAGCCGTGCCAGCACATTTAGGGGCAACATTGAGTCATGTACGTTTGTGACCATATGCATCGTGATTTGACAAATTTGATCAGCACTAAGGATCAGATAAACATGAAAGCTGTCACTATTTGGTGATCAATCATAAATATACCTGTTAGTGAGTCTATTACATTCACGTTTTAGGTTTATGCACTACCGAACTAAAAAGATGTTTGCTCATTTCAGGATTACAGCTAATGATTCCAATAATATTTTTTCTTAAAAATTTAAAGTTAACTTTCTTCAATCCATCTCAGTGGATTGCAATTTATATTTTCCGTATGGAGTTGTGAAGATTGTTGAATTTTATTAAAATCATGAACCATTATGATGTTAGACATTAACATTGTCGGAACCCGGCTCAGTTGTCTAGGGTTTCTGTTCGCATTCTAGAATGGAGGTCTCGGGTTAGATTCTCGCGTGCGGTGTCGTGAGTGCCTACTGTTGGGGAGTCCCATACAACGACGAACCGGTTTCCAGTACTTCCACGTTCTTAGTGATAATCTGATTTATATCAGTTCATGATTTTAATTCATATTATGAATAAAACCCAAAAACTAGTGGAAAATCATTTCAAGTACATAATTCATACTGAATACCTGATAGTAACTTCAAAATGTTCTTAATTAATTTTCATTGAATTACAAAATTGTTGGTGTATAGAGGTTTTTGAATTCTATCAAAACAGATTCAAATAAAAAATAACTTTATTGCGATAAGGAAAGATTACTTTAAATTTTTTACGAAACATTTATTAACTTACAATTACTAACATTTAGCTTATTCTGCCTATTTTTAAACTAGAGATAAGTGTATTCACATTATGATAATTATCTAAATTGATATTATGTTATTGTAAACAGGATACTAGAAATAAGAAATAAATAATCGTTCAAAAGTCTCATTTAGTTTAATAGTAATAATGGAAATACTTTAAGTGGTTGTACATCATGTATTTGTGTCTGTAGAAAACAGTATTGATTGTATTTATGTATTAAGGTAAATCATGTGATTTCTAATATTTTTAGAGGTATGAGGGTGGTTGTTGCTTACCGATTATGGTAAGGAAAGTTACTTCTTCTGAGGTAACGTGGGAAGGAAACTGGATTTTGAATGGTCGTGATAGCGTGGATATATATTTTGTAGCGAGTAATCAGCAAACAACACGAGTCGGCTATTCAACTTCTCTATAATTTCACAAGTTGAAATCATGAGTCATTTGAAGCTAGACCACCATTGAAAACCTGGAAGCACTGGACGGCCGTTTCATCCTAGTATGGGACTCCTCAGCAGTGCGCATCCACGATCCCGCACCACGCGGGGCTCGAACCCAGGACCTACTGGCTTCGCGCGCGAGCACTGCTGAGGAGTCCCATACTAGGATGAAACGGCCGTCCAGTGCTTCCAGGTTTTCAATGGTGGTCTAGCTTCAACTGACTCATGATTTCAACTTGTGAAATTTGTTAAACTCTCCACAAAAACCCATTCTCTATAATTCTCAGTGGCTTCTCAACTATTTCTTGTTCTTAATAACAATAATTTTTGAATCATACAGAATCTCCATAAAATCCCACCCACATTTATCAATATATATTCTGAATCTTGATTTAATGTATCAGATCATCCTTATTATTATTATTATTATTATTATTATTATTATTATTATTATTATTATTATTATTATTATTAACTCATTAATAACTCATATAAGTTTGTACACTCTAGCTGTGACTGCTAGCGATTTTACTCAGCTACACAAAGTAATTTAGCTGGAATTTGACTCGAAATTTCGACTCATTGGCTGGAAGGGAAATGCTTTAACTGCAGATCTGTCACTAAGTGCAATCGTAATTATACCCCTACTAATTTGTTTATCCCACAGTGAGAATCTAGGCAATTTATTCATTTCATTTCAGTGACTAAAGACTATCACAGATTCGTATGTTTATGTGTGTGTATGAATTGAAGGTTCATTTTTATGCTGAGTTGTGACCTACTAATTAAACACTTCAATATTCATCTAATTAATTGTAATTTTGCATTAAATATTCCCTATCTTGATTACGATAATTAAACAGTTTTAGTCTTTTTCAATACCTATTAAGTAAATGTATAACAAGTGATCATGTTGTATGAAGTCATTACCGGTACACAGAATCTAAAAACTCGTTTTTTTATTTTCTACAAATATTTCTGTTTTTTTCCTACCTTTCATTGTTTCGATTTGGTACAATGACTTTTGCTTCTTTCATTCAACTAATCCCATAGTATGTATGATGATTAGGGTGTAATTTCAAATTTGTTCATTTAGATTCCCATTTAGTCATTGTTAATCCTTTGTTAATGAGTGAATAATTCACTTAGGTGTTTCATTTTTCTTTCAAAATGTTTCTTGTTATTTTTTTTAACGAATAGATAGAAATACTAATTTCAACAACCTTGTCTTTTTGTTTAGGGTGTATGTGTTCAACTGTTTTACAGTTTAATTTTTCATTTAGAATATATATTAACTTGTTTTCACATGTGTGGCGTAAGTGAAATATTCATTTATCAACTAAAGGATGAGTTTGATGTGTGGCAGTTCTCTCCGTTCTACATTATGAATATGAAACATATCCGTTAGGAATAGGAAATATACATAGATTACTAATGTTAATCATAGATATCCTTGAAGCATATTTGTCTTGTGTTTTTGGAATATTGAGAGGACGATGACCGAGGTTTACATAAGGTACAAGGTAAATGTCGGTTAGTTTGTAAGTTTTCATCATCTGAGACGGTTGTTTCGTCTTATGTATGTTCAACCACAGCTCACATCGACGAGCGATGTTGGTTGGTGTAGAGGCAGGTTGAAAGAATGTTACGGGGGCCAAACCAAGATATGGCATCAGTCTATGGAGTTGTTGACAATGGGACTGAGCCATAATAATAAGTGTAAACTACCTGATTGGCGTGATTACTATAGTTACTATAGTCAGTCAGTCAAACACAACTTAGAACCTGACACATGTGTATATCGGTTCAAGTTGCCATAATGTGAAGAAATACAAATTAAGCATGTTTAGATATTTCATACTAAGAATATGTTAAACAGATATCTTCGTTTAAAACAAAAATAATTCGTTGAAGCTATATATATGTCAAGTAGTTACATTAATAGTTTATTGTTATTATCATGTTATTATACATAAGGTATAGAGATGATAAATTATTTTATGTAACAAAGTTTGTTCCTTTCTTTATGACGAAAAACTAAGTAGAAAATAGATTATCATAGTAAAAAAACAAAAACAAATGTATCATTTTATGTCGTTAACATTTAATCATTTTGAATCAGTTTAAATGGTAGCTAAGTGCAAATATTTTAAATGGCTTTTTTCCATCATATGAAAATAATGTCAACTAAAAGTCTGAAGTGAAAAAGAAAGGCAATGGATGGCTGTTGTCCAAGATCTGATATTGAGGTGTAACGTGTAATACGTTAACTGTCTATCTGGCTACTTAACAATAGTGAATTGAGAAAGTGTATTGCGTTACTGAATAATGTGCACAAATAATCATATATATAAGTCATATCTAGCCAAGGAAGGAACAGCGTCGTCCCGAATTTCTTCTGAACACATAAACTAGGGTTATAAGTTCGGATCTCTATAGCTTTTACTATATATAAGAGACGGGATCAAACCTCATAAATTGCCTTGATCGGTTCGACGTTTATATATATCCATATAAATATTTATGTATATAATAGTAAAACCTCATGACGATCAAATGGAAAACAACATCGTTAGCTTACATATGTGTTGTTTTAAGTTTCACAATGGAAATTCTTAATACTTTAGATCGTTTTGTTGGGAATTTAGTAGAACTTGTGAGTAGCTTGTTTTTCCGATTAAAATCATCCATAGAACCAGTTAAAATCATATACTATTATCTATCCGTCTTAAAACTAGTTTGGAATTCCCGTACAGTTTTGACTAACGTAACAAAAAGCATGTTGGTACGGATACTACTATATGATTTCTGTGACCCATGTGATAGAGACAATCTTCTTGATGTATTCTCCTCTATAATCCTTAAACGTTTTATCACTTTAAACATGTTTTTATACTGATTAACTGTGTACTTTTTCAAGATTGGTTAACTTTAACCAATTTAGTTGCCTAATTCAAAACATTTAATATTCAATCATTTGTTTGCTGATTCAGCCTCCGTTCCATCAATTTCGGGTACTGGGTTACATCATTTGCTCCAATACTGAAACTCATATGGTTCAAAGCCAATTGTGAGGACTTATGGAAGTAACTTATTTACCAAACAATAGCTTTGTGTACTCAGTTTTTAGCCACAATGCGTGTATGTGGGGGCTAATGATACTGAATCTGCAACTTAACCGTTGAAAGCCCGAGTGTCTCAAGTGATGAACTATCTCTTCCCAAGTGTTATATTAATTTATACTAGTTTATTAAATCTCATTTATTCAAGTATTTTAACTCAATGCATCATTGTATCATTCATCCTTAAATGGATTTTGTTTCTTGTTTTTTTAAGAAGCTTTCCGTTATAGCTCATCTCTTTTTGTACTGTTTTTTTTTAATTATTAACTTAAAAAAGATGGGACCATTTCATGATCATTTCTCACAAATCTTTGAATTAGCGTGGAATGAAAAATCAGATTCGCCTGATGTTAAGAAAAAAAAGCATAGGTAAGTTCGAAATAAAGTTCTTTAAAATTAGTTGTATATATGTATATGCCTTATTCTTTTACATACATTTTATTGAGAAAATGTTTATTGCCTAGTATCAACCGACTCTTTCACTATGTATTCAATTTGCTTAGCTTATTCACTAGGTCGACATTCGTGTACTTAGCTTTAAATTACACTCTAGATGTTAAGGACTCTTTATGCTACTACCCAGTTGTCCACTAAGCTCTTGGTAGCTGTTTCACCCTTTTATGAGACTCTCCAACAATGCACATCCACCACCTCACCGGTAATCAAATCCAGGACCTTCATGTCTCGCGACAAGTACATAACCCTTGGGCCATTAAGCTGGCATCCAATATTTTGTCTTTCTAACTTCTATCCATTTAAAATATTCCACAACCATATTTTAATCCCATTGGTGGTTACGTGCCTCACACTTGACATTACTGAACTCCATTAGTCACGATTTCTCACTTATCAATTCTGTATGCTGGTATGGTCTAAGATTTAAAGTGTACTATGCTGTTAAGTAAATAAAAATAAAATGTAATCAAATTGTTTTGCAGAATATAGTCTTTTTACCTCATATATGTTCTCATATCCTAAGATTACTGCTATTATTAGTAGTAGTATTAGTGTTGGTAGTAATCATAAAAACTGCTTCTTATTACATTCCTTTTGTGTGTCTCACCCATGTCGGATATGAGGCAGTTACTTACTAATAATACCAGAATACGATTCTAAAATGTCGCAAATTGATTGAAGTTTGAAATGCAAATCATTATGATGTCGAACAAATGGTCTAAAAGTGAAGCGCTTACAGTAAAACCTTAAAGCTCTGTGTTCAACCCTGGATAGAGTTATAAACACACAATGATCAGGAATCGTTTACTAATACAAAGTAGCTGTCGATTGCTTTCCGGGTTCGGTCTAACTAAGATCGCTGTTTGATGTAAACTATAAAATCTGTCGATCCCTACAAATATCTTATAATATGTTTCTTTTGTGTTTATATATGCGTTTGAATATTATAAATAACTGGGATCATTTTATTAGTATTATCATTATTATTCTTTGTATTCAAGTGAAGGTTTTCTTTAAGGATTTAATGGTTTCATCGGAAGTGTTAAGGTTTAGATTTTTCAAAAGATCTGACCACAAACCAAGTAGTAGTGTTTTATTTAGTTTTGGCCAATGTTTTGCCAACTGTTATTTCTGTACAAAGTGAATACATTTAGACTATGAACCGATTAATGCTAGAAAACCATAGCCGCACGTGGAATCCGAACCCAGAACCTTCATTCGCGCGCGAACGCTTAACCCTTAGACCACTGAGTCGGGATCCGATGGTGTTAATATCTAACTTCAAACAATCCACAATACTGCACGAGCATCTTTCACTGTATTCAATATGACATTCGCATCCTACTTATTTTAACTAATTGACCCATATCTATCAGTGAATGTAAATTATTTGATAGTTGCTGTTTTGATGATCATCTTTATTAATACTCGCTCTTACTGGTGTTCACTATTGTCAATCACAAATATATAGTTGAGAGTTTGCACTTGTTATGAGTCCCACAAATGAAATTCACCGGACTGTTTGTTGTTCTTTTTAGTTTGTCACCAGTATATATTTCTTTCCTATTTTTGAGCAACTTATAAGTAACTCATTTGCAAAATGTACACTTGTGTAGTTTTTTATGAAATGACATTTTAATTGTGGAAACATAATGACACTTTACTATTCTACTGCTGGCAAGGCAGTAGACGGAGCGAAGTTTGAACCTGACAAACGAACTAACCGTCTATTCCATTGCTTGAAAAACAAAGTAGGGATAACAGATGTTTTTATACTAATTAAATGTAAAAATATTAAATCTAAGAATTGCATTGATTCAGTCAGTTTACTGTAATTGTTCGTTTTAACTTCTGTTTTTGGACTAAAATAAAAAAAATTCTTTAAAATATACAGTATTATTTTCATTATATATTTAATACGTAAGTTAATTTGTAGACAATATTTAGATATTTTATCAACTTCATCAGTAGTGTGTTCAAACCGAAAAAAACATATGAAAGAGTTAATGTATAAATGTTATTTAATTTACTTTTAATATTCATTAAGTCAGTGTTATACTGTAAATTTGATAAGTTAGTTTTACACTAGATCGATTGTATTTAAGCTTTCTCGGATAGGTCTAATAACTGATATCTGACAGAGAAAAAAATAAACTTCTGAAATACGACTGTTGGAACGGTTCCAATAATGGTTATTATTTAGAGTCATGAGATTAATACTGTTCACTCCTGATTCAGATGGTGGTTGGAGGTAGTCAACAGGAAACCATTGACCGGGTTTCGTGCTACTTGGCACTCGTCAGCAAGGTGTGTCTGTAATCTTGAGGGAACTGGTGCTCCCTGGCGGATTCGATCATGTGCTACCCAGCTTCGCAGTCAGAGACGTTACCACTGAGCTATCCGAGCCGTGTCCAACCTCCTGTAGGACTGAGATGTAATCACAATTGATTGATCACTGGGTGGTGATCAATGTCATGCGTGTCTAGTCCTTATTAGTGCAGATCGAATGCTATCGATCATGTTGCAATGTGGTCACCAGTCTAGGTGACTCGACACTGCGAGTACTATATATTGAGATTAGATGGTGGTTGGAGGTAGTCAACAGGAAACCCTGGATCTGCACTAATAAGCACTAGACACGCATGACATTGATCACCACCCAGTGATCAATCAATTATGACTGTTAACTCCTTTCGGATGATGGATCGTGTTATTAAATTTTGTGAATATTTAGTGATTGAAATGTATCGTATTTTCTGGATTTAGCTTGTCGCTAACGTCGTTATTTTTACCTTGCCTAGCTCTTCTACAATCACTGGTTGTTTGAAGTATTGGCTCAGTAGCCAAGATGTTCAACTTTCACCCACTGAGTTACAGGTTAGAACTCCGCTTTGCCTATTTCGGCAACCGCGGGTAGTGGTAGCTCTCATTCAAACTTAGAATGTTTGTGGTGCTTGAAGTCAAGTTTATGAATCTCTACCTGGTAAATGAGTTAATAAATAAAAAAGAATCGCTAATCAGTCTATTTGGTTGAAATCTGTTTATCCTTATGTAGTATTATAATGATAGTCGTTCTACTGATAAAAAATGATTTTAGGAAAAAAACCAAATGAAATTTCTCTTCCAAGTTACAGTGTAACATGTCTATCCTCGCTGTAATTTTCCCACTTCAATCTGTCTAACATGTCATCAGAACAATTTAAAACAAAGTATAAATAAATGAAAAATGAACAGTTAATTCGTTTCAATGGTCAATACTTGTTCACTATGTTTCTTCGTATCCTTTTTATTTCTGAAATGTCTAAAACCATGGTACACAGTTCCATAGTTTTTATTAAGACCCTGTTTTTCTCTTGTTAATTGTAACGTTCTCGATAAACAATCTTTATTATTATTATTATTACTTAGCTAGTGAAATCAATTAAATGTCACTTGTTTCCAGCCCGTACCACTACCACTACTATTATTATTGTTATTATTACTATGATTAGCATAATATTTATCGATCACTGAAATTCTTCAGGGTTTAGTAAATAGGATTATAACGGACTAGTTTTGTTTCCTGAACAATTAATCCTATGACTAGATACATAATTACATATATATATATATATATATATATATATATATATATATATATATATATATATTGTCACTTCAGTGCCAAGTTTTCAAATCACACGCAAATAATCATTGAGATGATGCCATAAAAAATAACATATTTAAGTCAAATTGATTTACAGTTTTCTGTCACTGCTATTTAGTTTAAAAGTAGTATGTTTGATGAGGAAATTAAATATATTCAACACTGGTAAACCATCGTCAATATTTATCTAGATTGAATTCTCTTAACAAACAGTTCACTATAGCTGATATGCTATGCGATCTTAAAGGGATGACGTAGTATAGCAACTTAAACTAATGCGTATTTATGTGCTGAGGTTCTACATTGTTCCTTACTGACTGGCTGACTTTTATTCCACAATATAGCATATTCCATATTTTCACTGCGAAATGAAATTGTGTTATTCAGAGTATAACATGTTGAACTCAAAAAATTATCGATCCAGTCAGTATTGTTGAAGTTTATATTATTCGAGTCTACATTAACATCTAGTAGAAAGACAGACTAACCTAAACTCTTTTAATTTCTGTTTTTCAATTTTATAAATGAATTACTAACACCTTAGAAAGTTTAATCTCATTCGTCGATTTATCATAATTTGATGTTCATTGTCTTTCATTCTTAATAAGTTGGTTTTTCTTCTATTCTGACTGGAAAATGCATGTCCAAACTGTCTAATTGTTGCTGAACTCCTAGATTTGTAATAACTTCATAAAGTAAAAATTATGCTAATAGGCTTACGGTACTCTGATGTTGATTGTTCTTTGACAAAAATAATAGTTTGTACAATCTGGTAATTAGGTAGGAAGCACTTTGAGTGGTCAATAACTTTTTTGTCACAAGTATTTTAATAAAGTTGATTCGGGGCTAGCAGTGGAATCCGTGATGCATGTTTCGTCCTATCCAACAGTTAGATGAATGTACCTGGATCTTAATGTTTACATTCATATTAAGAATCGAACCCAGTAATCTTGCTTCAAACACTAACATATCCACCGAACTGCTGAGTCTTGACGATTTCCGTGTTGTGTAACAGGTATGAAATTTATTTTACGTATAAAGGTTTGTGTTTTCCCATTGTTGATGTTAAGAAATTCAGTTAAGCAGTCTCTATTAGCAAATACATCTCAGGTAAGACGAAACGCGTGTTGTGGGTTCTACTGCTAGTACTGCTTCCAAATTATTGTGGTTAGTTGATAATATCGACACTAACACCATTGGATGCCGCCTCTGTGGTCTAGTAGGTTAAGCGTTCGCGCGCGATACCGAAGGTCCTGGGTTCGAATCC